AAGCTCCCTTCATCCACCGCAGCTTCTCTTGTGGTTGGTAAGACCTGCCTCAAAGAGAATGGGTTGGTGATCTCCAGGAAATGCCTGGTTCAAATCACGAAACCCCTCGCCACAACATGCAGCCCACAGCCCCCCGACCCTATACTTCGTGACTCAGCAGGCATTGCTGGACTCCATGCCCCCCAGGTGTATGCACTTCTGAGCTGGGTGCGAATGTAGTAATGCCATGAGAAATAGGCAGCAGTCTTAAAAAGCTGTTGAGAGGTGCAGACATGCAGGGCATTTTTTTCCTTTGAAATGCTAACAAGCTGGGAAGCCTCTTTCCAGAGGGGAGCAAAATGGTGGTTGAAGGGTTAAACCTGATCTTACCCGTCCCTTTCCCGAGGCAAACTGAGGCTGCATGAGCTTGCCATTAAAAGACAGGTGATGGTTTGAGCCTTTAGCATTGCTAGAGCCAGTTTGGTATAGTGGTTAAATGTGCGGACGCTAATCTGGGAGAACTGGGTTTGATTTCCCACTTGCAGCTGCTGGATGACCTTGGGCAAGCCATAGTTGTCAGAGGTGTTCTCTCAAGGACAGTTCTGGAAAGAGCTCTCTCAGCCCTGCCTACCTCACAGGGTGTCTGTTGTGGGGAGGGGAAGGGAAAGGAGTTTGTAAGCCACTCTGAGACTCTGAGTGAAGGCTGGGGTATAAACTCAATATCATCTTCTTCTAGATTCCCAACTTCCCAAACCCTGACATTGATGGGGTTAGGGCCTAGCGATGTCGTATTTCTACAGTATGGCCCCGGTTAGTTCTGATCGAGGTCTACTCTGGCCCATTCAAGTATTCTGAGTTATGCATTGCTGAATTAGAGTATTAGGTTGAAGTGTGGGGACCCAACTTCAAAACCCCATTCAGCTGGGTTACTGTAAGCCAGTCACTTAGCCTAACCTCCATCACAAGGTTGTTGTAAGGAGGAAGTGGAGAACCGTGTCTGCTCTCCTGAGCTCCTTGGACGAAAGGCAGGATAAAGACGCTACAAATTGGTTTATGCAATATTACTTAGTATGCTCAAGTTTTATATTGCTCCGTTTCAACTTTCCTTGCAAATTGTATTCGAATGAAGTAAACACAACTGGTGATTTTAAAAAAAAGTATTAATTTAATCAGCTCAAGAGGAGAAAATTTAGCACCATTCTATTCAGCAAGCATCACTCGCAACTTCATTACTATAATTGTACAATTAGCATCAGTATATGATACAACTTAGTTTTCACCTAATACACACATAAAAGTGTGTATGCTTTAATTGGTTAGTATTAATGCGGAAGAGCTGTTTGATACTCTAATTCAGCATAGAATAAGAGGCACATTTTATATAAAGTGTCATTACATTGAAAACTCTGTAAAACACTGATTTTTTCATCATTTTTCCAACTTGAAGGGGAAGAAGTCCTGTGAAATTTCTTAGAAGTTACACCCAAACTGCTATAAGAACAAACAGTGCAAAGAGGTTTAATGTCACGATTTTACAGACCTGAATTTGGCCAAAGAAGAAACAGAGCTTCAGCCACAATCTAAAGCACTACTTCAAGCACACAGAGACAGCAGAATTGTCGATTTCTTTCCAACCTATTTCTGAATCTCCTTTCAGTTTCAAAAGGCAGATTGCCACGTGGTGTACAGAAAAGGTTGCTAAATGCGGGGGGGGGGGGGAGAAAAGTCCTACACAAAAGTTGCCCAGTTCTCTGCTTTCTGGCTCTTGTTTTTAACTGAAAGCATGCACAACGAGTTAACAATGTAAACAAAAACCTGGCCAAGCATGCTTTAAAACAGCCTGTGTCCTTCCTGGGTGATACAGAAGATGTTCAGCAGCAAAGCTCCCTCTTGAAACAGAAGGTGAAGCGATACTAGGATCCAGAGGGCTTTTTTAGGCCTGCCAGCAGAATAAACTTCTTTGAATGGCCTACCTTCACAACATCCTGCTAGCTGTTTTGGAAAGTCTCTTCACTTCTGAATACAGCACTGGTGGGTGTGGAGAAGGCTGCTGTTCCATTCTCGGGCCCCAGCTAGGAAATCTTGTTCCCCAGATGTGAAGAACCCAATCAGCATCACGATAACATCCCAGAGAGCTCAATACAGAACCTGTGACATCCCATTTAACCCTGGGAGGGCCAATGACCAGCCACACAAGACTGGGTGCTGCCTTTGGTTTGCCAATAACTGCCCCCAACAGCCCCCACCCCACCCGGGAGTGATGCTTCTTGAGCACGGCCATTTGGTGTAGGCACATGCCGGGCAGGCTCTAGAGCAGGGGTCTCCAACCTTTTCTGAACCTGTAGGCACCTCTGGAATTCTGATGCAGGGTGCTGGGCATTGCCACAAAATGGCTGCCGCTGGAGGTGGAGCCAGCCACAAAGTGGCTGCCGCAGCTTACCTTCAGTCACACAGTGAAGATCCTTGTGCTGTGGTAGCAGCTGCTGCCAAAGCGACACGTTAAAAAAATCGGCACAGCCAAGGAGAAGCCTTGCTGGAGAAAAAGCCCCACTGGCCCTGCAACTTTCCAAGAACACTTGTTGGGCACCAGGAAAGGTCTCAACAGACACCGTGGCACCCACGCACACCACGCTGGGGACCCCTGCTCTAAAGTATGGCTAACTCCTAAAACAAAATGCTTGCTGGGTGTTTCTAAAACAAGAGCACACACCTCTGTTTGCACCTCTGACCGTTTCTTTGGCCAGCGTCAGATGCTGCTCCAGAGGTCATCCTCAATCTCCGGGAGTAGCCGCTGAAAGAACACCGGAGTAGAGGTAGTAGGCTGGGGGAGAACATGTGCCTTGCATGAAGAAGGTCCCGGACTCAACCCCCAGCAAGTGATGTAAAAACCATCAAGTGATGCGAAAGACCTCTCCCCGAGACCCCGGGGAGCCTGTGCCAGTTCCCATAGAGAAAGTTGACTTTGACACACGAAAGGCTGGATTCTGCTTATGGCAGCCTGCTTCATGTGTTCCAAAGTCCTGCTGAGCGCCAAGATGTGTGCGGTGTGCGCAGCTCTTGGGAAACCACCAATGAATGCTCAAAGATTTGCAACTGCAGTGAAAAGACAACCATTGGACGAGTACTCTTGTATATGCCTGTGTATTGTTTGCTTTCATTTTTATCCTGCAAAAAAATGCCATGAACACACAGTCAGTTCCCCAATTGGTAAATCTGCCATTTTTCTTTAATGAGAATTTCACTTTTTGAGCTAGCACTCAACTTGGGTATGCTTTACAGGTGTTTTGTTAACGGCTCTGAACAGTTAAAATCTTTTTCCAAGGAAGGAGCCAAAACTAGGTTTAGCAAAATAGACAAAACAGGTAAAGTGACTTGCAGTTTGTTCACCGTAATCTGCATCGTGTCTTATTCCCCCACACCTGTCCACTTCTGCAAGCCCCACAATTACTTTTGTTAGATAGGAGAGTATTAACATGACACAAAAGTTCATACTTCATGATCTGGACACTCCTTGTTATCTAGCTATTTATCAATTTATGAAAATACTGCCTTCCACCCCGTACTATCCTCCCCCCACTGTGCAACTTCCAGTAACAACACCGAAAGATTAGGAAATATTGCTAGGAAACCCCCATCAGTAAGATAAATTAATTAAGCACCATAAATAAATTTGCATGTTTTGGGAAAACACAACCTTGCTCAGAATGAGTAAAAATCAGGATTTTTTTGCTTTCATTCTATTAAAAAAAGGCATCCCCCCAAAAAAACCAACAACACTTTGCTCCTAGAATCTGGTGTTCCATTGGCACATGAACATACTCGAATTCTACCAAAACAAGAACTAAATATCCCTGGTGTTCAAATGAGAAACGAGATCAACTCTGATTAAAAGGATATATAGTACGTGGTCAAAAGCAGGTATATGTTCTGCCAGCCTTACTGTCTACTCTGCCTTCAGCAAAAATTCCTTGGAACAAACACGCTGATTTCTCTCTCTCTCTCAGATTAAGAGGGTTTTCCAGAGTGCAGTTACAATTTCAATTTCAAGTCCATCAGACCATGAGCAGTTGTGCATGTCCATTTTAAAGGTGCTATTTAGGCTATAAAAAGTTAGAATCTTGGCCATATATAGAGTTTGAACTTCTTGACAATAAAAAAACTGAGCAGGTTAGAACTAAAGCACTGAATCCAAGGTATTGTTAACAGAACTTCCCTAATTTCTCTCCTCCTGTCTGCTGTGCCTCATTAGGGTCAGGGGATTCCTCCTAGGACTCTGCCTTCAGAAGGACAGGGGAGTGGGCAAACCTTACCTCTTCAGAGAGACCTGGATCCAACCTGAAGAGTTCTGTGGCCAGGTTAAGTGTGGTACAGTTTACATAGTAAAATTCCCTACTTGCAGCTAGCAAAAATTAACCTGTGAATTAAGTTTACAATTCAAGTAACATTTAGATATTTCTGTTTGAGACTACAGACAGAGAATGCATCTAATTCTCCCTCCCCGCCCTATATTGTTGATAGCAATTATTTACTATGGGCAAAACACATAATTGAAATCAGCTGGACTTAGAAGAGCTTAACTCTGAAAACACTGGGTATGATCCAGACTAAGGACAAGACAAGACTAAGCTGATATTCTGGATCATCATTTTTAAAGTCACAAAAGGAAGCCAATTTGTTTTAAGGACTGTCCCCCCCCCCCACTGAATACGGATGAACCGTATTATACTGTATTAAGGTAGGTTTCATTTTAATGCTCACTAACACCCTTTTTAGTTCAACATCCTATTTATATGGAAGAACTGATTAGGTTTATGGCTAGTTAATTACAATCAAGAGACTATTCAGCCCAAGTTGTTTTCCGACTTGGAATGTCTGAAACGTTGGAGTGGCTCCGAGCCTGGCAGGCTTTTCTGAAAACGAGTTGCCTTCTAAAAGAAGCCCAGACATTTTAGCAGGACAAAACTATGAAGGCCCAACATATTCTATGTGGTAAAAAGACCCTCCCCCCCCCCCCCAAAAATGCTAAAAAGAACCATTTGTTCTTCTGGGTCAATCAGTTTTGTTCCAGATTATTAAGTAGTACAAATGCAATTCAGACCTCCTGGTTGTTAGGTGACATTTTTAGCACTGCCGGATGGGAAGGACTGGCCAGGTACTCCCTCCAAGCACAAGACTACTTAGGAAACAACCAACCAATCAGCAACAACACAGGTCCTTATCCATTTGCTTAACCTCCCACTAGACTGTCCTAATACAGCTCTGTCTTTTCGCCTGTGTCCCAGGAATGTTATTTCAATAACGAAGGCCTTCCTATGACAGAAACATCAAGAGTCAGCCGTGGATATTCCTGCAGTTAAATACATTGCAGTGGGGAATGGCCAAAACAGGTTCATCCAAAGTTGCATTCTCAGACGGACTGACCCCTTAGCACATTTGGTTGTGTTTGAAACATCCGGAAGGAGCTTGGAGAGTCCCGGTCATGACTAACTGAATGAACCTGCTCAACCAAAGGAACTAAAGATGGAAAAAGCAAGTTTTGAAATTGGGTCCATGCTATATTTGGTTACCAGGACCGCTGTGAGACTCAAAACCATTAATATATATATATTCACGTGTGTGTAATCTGACTACGGACAGGAAAAGAGTTTTATAAAAGATTCCGGTTTCCAAAGATGTTATTGGGGTCCACATATTGTTTGAGAGACTTCAGCATTCCAAAGCCAACGTCGGAGACGCTCTCCTTCAGCCACTGCTTCCGTAACTTGCCCACTGGAGAAGAAAGGGGAGGGGGGGGGGAAGCAAGTCTTTAATATCCATCATAATAGCAGGAGCCAATCAATCTTGTGACCATGAATGAACAAACACTGGGTGATAAATGCTTTTATTCAAAAATGAGAAATGTTTTGCTTTGTTTGATTTATTGAGCCCACCAGACTATCAAGCTCATTAAACTCAGAGTACTCCCAGAGGAAGCCCACACTGCCTTACTCTCTTTACAAAAACTATGAAATTTAGATAAAGTTTAGACCAAGAGACCATGTGTCACACTGAAAATAATTACACATAGCTCAAACTCTCTCAACAAGATGCGCTGGCATGTTTGAACAGCAATGGCAATCCTAAATCCAAGGATTTTGAGGAATGTGTTTACAAGACTTTAAGACCAGTCCACACAACCCTTTTTAGATAAACATGGAACCCAACATACTGGACATAACTTCAGCAGATTATGTTCAAAGGCGATAAGCCCAACACGCCAGAATCTGACCGCCATACTCACAAAAGCAATTTCTTAAGTTTAACCACACTCTGGTAGGCCATTCTGGAAATTGTCACAAAGCCATCACAACAATCCATGTTCTACACGCAGGGGTGCCAAACATAAGGCCCGGGGGCCAGAACCGGCCCATCCAGGGCTCTTATGCAGCCCACGGGCAACTAGTGCAAGGGACGGAACAGGTGACTGCTCGGGGGGAGAATGGACGGAGCTACTCCGACTGTGGCTTCAGCATGGTGGAACAACCTCATCTGCAGCAGTCAAGCAGCGTGGGAGCATCTGCCCAGTGCTGCATCACTGGCTCCCCAGTCCGCCCGTCTGGGTTTCCGTTGCATCCCCCTCCCAGCCCATGGGGCCTTGTAGTGAGGATACACCAACTCGGGGCTTACCAGCTGTTGTCCTTTGTACAGTTTATATCTCTGGTACCTGGCATTACATTTTATGGCACACATGGCCCGGCCCAACAAAGTGACATTTATGTCAGATCTGGCCATGGTAACAAATGAATTTGACACCTCTGTTCTACAGTCTGGTTAATTATAAATATCAATGCAGATTCAATTTTCTGATTTCAAGGACAACCTATGATTTTTTAAAAATCATTTTTTTAAAAGGTAGGTTTTTGTACAAAGTGACTGTTCGTTGTCAGGGAATAATCATCACCTAGACAAGTATTTAATTCTTGAACCAAGGCAAATAACAGTTTCTCAACCTGAGGCATGACCAATTTGCGTGAGGCAATTTGCACCTCCAGTGCCTGCCTCTCTGAAGTATTTGTGGCTACATCCAAGCCATCTTGCGTGGCTCCTGTTCTCAGGGTAGCTAAACTGCCAACAGAGGAATGAATGATGAGGGACACCCGATGGAGAGCAGAGTGTTTTTGTTCCTCCCCTCTGAGGAATACAACCATGCTGCAGAACTGACTGAGAATAAACTAATTGAAACTAAGCCCTGAAAACAGAGAGGCAATGCTGGTTGGGAAAGGTGGAGATCTTGAAGGACATTGTTCTACCTACTTATGATGGAGTTCAACTGACCCTTGCTGGCCCAGTTAAGAGCCTAAAGATTATACTGGATCCAGCTTTGTTACTGGAGGAGCAAGTTAATGCAGCTGCAAAAACAGAAAGAAAGAAAGAAAGAAAGAAAGAAAGAAAGAAAGAAAGAAAGAAAGAAAGAAAGAAAGAAAGAAAGAAAGAAAGGCTTTCTACCAACTCAGCCTAGTCCGTAAGATGACCCCTTATGGCTGACCTGGAGACCTGGATCCATACCACAGTAACATCAAGAGTACACTACTGTAATGCACTGTACCTTGCTCTCCCCTCAAAATCAACTCAGATGTTTGCTCATGGTTTTATATTTTATTTTTTGTATGTCTCCAAGTTTGATCTTTTTAATAAAATTAAGATTTCTGCCCCCCCCCAATCAAGTCAGAAACTCCAGCTGGTCCAAAATACTGCAGCTCAGCTGTTATCGGAAGCTAGATGGAACATGCATATTGCTCTCATTCCACAGATGTTCCACTGGCTGCCCATTTGTTAATCGGGCTCAATTTAAAGTACTGGGTATCACATACAAAGCCCTTCATGACCATGGCCCCTCTGATTTTCCAGGACTGCCTCTCCCCACTTTGCTCTGCCAGGACAACATCACTCAAGTCAGCAGGGGCTTCTGTGGTGCCAACTTGCAAATGGGCAAAATCAACAACTGCCCATACACGTGGCTTTCTCCATTATGGCTTCCCATCTTATGGAATGGCCTGCCCGAGGAGGTCAGGAAAGCTCCCGCTCCTCTGGCTTTCCGCAAACTATGTAAAACTGAATTATTCAAGAGGTCTTTTCCACACAGGTAATAGGGCTGCACTCTACAAAAATGGTTCACAAACTTCCTTGGATAAATGGTTATGTAATTTTTGTACTGCCTGACGTGTTGTGTTAACACTGATGCTATGCTTTGGTTCTTCCTGGGGGTTCCAGACTGCTAAAACCCTCATGCATTGCTTAATGCCCCATTCTGTTGATCACACTGACTTCTTATGTGTAATCCGCCTCGAGTCCCTGTGAGAAAGGCAGACTACAAATAATGTGAAAGGAAGAAAGCTGAAATGTAAGAGGAAAAAGCCTGCAGTGTTGTTTAAAATGACTGGGAGAAACAGAAGCAAAAGCACAGGTACTGAAGTAAACTGAGACTGAAATTTACCTTCTAAGTGCTCGTGTGCCTTCTACTTTTAATATGAAAATTCATGTACATTTTTTTTTAAAGCCACATGTATTTCTCCTGCAACTATATTCCTACTCCCTGATCATTGGGCAAGTTCGCTATTGAAATTTCAAAGAGGGCCAAACGCCTCGACTCCGGCCGACGACATTCCAGCTGCAGCTAACGAGACAACGCACAGTCAACGCTATTATCGGCCGTGATTAGTGATGCTGTTTCCAGTGAGCTCATCCTGTGGTTATAGATGTAATTGTCTCCAGAAAGACTGAAAAACAACTGGCCCAACAAGATGGAGCACATTAAAGCCACAGCGGGAGGTCCGACAGCCAGCGCGACTGTCTTCTCCCCCCACCTCCCGCAACAACACAATTCCACGAGGAACTGAACTGATGTCTGAGCAGCCACCAAACAGCCATTGCATACTTAATGAAGTCGCTCACCAAGTGCTCGGAAACAGAAGGTGCTGGGAGTGCATCATTAGTTCTGTCAGAGTGATAATTTACACATCTATCTTGTCACATTTTCTATGCTTTATACTTTTGCAATAATAAATCTAACATACATTTGATTAGCGAACCAGAAAGTTTTTCCTTTCTTTTTTTTTATTAAAAAAAAAAAAGCTGTACAGGAGACCCTGGTGGTCCTTCATGAACATGTTTTGATAAAAAAAAAATTAACCCCTTTATAGTATTGGGTTGCAGGTTCTTGGTTGCCACGGTGGGTATGATACACATACCTATTTGTTGCAGTTCTGAGGATTAAAGGGGCTGAACTCAAGTCCGGTTGCAGCTTAGAGGCCAACAAGATTTTCAGGGTATTCGTTTTCGTGAACCAAAGCATCCTCCCTTCAACGGATGACTCACTCTAGAAAGCTTAAACCTTGAAAGTTTAAGTATCGGTCGGCTTATTGGTCTCTGAGGTGCTACTGGACTCAGATCTAGGTCTTCTATTGCAGACCAGCACGGCTCCCCTCCTGACACAGTCTTGGAGGATTGAAGTCTCATATTAAACAAAATGGGCAAACGCACCTCGTTTTCCCTGAGAAGTTTAAGATCATCACATTGTGGCTGATTATTTAATGCATGTGGCCTTTGTATGACTTGTTCACATTAATCCATGACTCCTCAACTTGGATACACTGCAGCACACGTGATCCCTCCCTCCTGCCATATACTCAGATTTCCGCCTCAGTTTTCTAGCTGGGGCAAACCAGCTTGTTGTTACATCCACCAAATCAGCATAGTTCAATTTTACTAACAGCGGTGCCTTCCACTGGCACAAAATCCTTCTGACATAAAACAGCTCTGCTGGATCAGACCAATGGTCCATCTAGTCCAGCATCCTGTCTCACACAGTGGCCAGGCAGCTCCTCTGGAGCTCCAACAACAGGGCATAGAGACTGAGGCCTTCCCTTGATGTTTCCTCCTAGCTCTGGGATTCAGAGGCTTATTGCCTCTGAATGTGGAGGTTCCCCTCAGTCAACCTTGGCTTTCCAACAACATGGATTTGTACTGGAATGAGGAGGGAACTTCTGTGGTGTAAGGAGCTTTTGCTTTTCTTCCATGATCTTTGGCTTATCTTCCTTGCTAATCTCCTAAATCCCAGAAATGCAACAGAGAGAATAGACAGATCAGGCTGGGACCAAGACTTAGCTTGGCAAGTCCCATCTGTAGCCTGTTTTATCAGACTGGCTCCAACTAGCAAGTGGGCTGGGCAAGGTGCCACTGCAGTCCGGTGGAGCCTTATGGGCATGAGGGAGGCAACACAGACACTGATGGTTCGCTGTAACCTTTCAACTGAACAGCCCTTAAATTTAATGTAGGGGTTGCAGAATGATGGATTAAGTGTCAGGGGTTTTAACCCCTTAAGCACTTTTATCAGAGCTCTTCGGCTAGTAATAATATAGGCAACCAGAAAAACGTCATTTAGTCCAAAGACCTTTAATTCCACCTCATTCCAATACGATCCATATTCAACACTGTGCAGTACTTGTGCCCTGTTCCCCCAACCCACCCAGTTACCTCTTGCATGAGGCTGGTGTTCAGACACACTTTGGGCAAAATGACTTATGTGTACTTCAACCAGTAAGCCATGACAAAAAAGGAAAAACCTCACTTTATAATACAAAACTAATGCGACTGGTAGACCAGGATGCTTCTCACAATTAAAGAGTTTCATAGCGGGGGTCTACCCCCCCTCAGGAACGGAGCCATTTGCTACAAACACAAATCTCAGCTCTGTTTCTCTGTCTGCAGAATAAATTCTGCTGCATAAACTGTCCAGTGCCTGCCTTAAAAATCACAAGCACTACAAGGAGAGAGTTAAACAGGCTTTTATATCCCCTTATAGCCTCAAGTCCCAGACTACATCTGTTTTACTTGATACACAAACCCAGAGTTAAAATAGCTTCATTTATCACAACATGATTGTAGGCAGACAAACCAGGCTGTCTGTTTTCAGATAGTGAAAGGAACCATTATTAATCACAATTATAGGGCAAACACTGAAGAGGAATTACATCAATATTCGCCCTTCCCCACACAGGAACTAAAAAAGCAATGTTGAGAATGTCATGACAAGGCCTGAAGGTCAGTAAATAATACAAAAAGGAAAGAAAGCGGTAGGGAACTAAGTTTAATCCCGAACAATAAATTCTAGCTCAGGACCAATATTCACAGTGGAAATTTAACACATGGGATTAGATGAATATCACCAGCGGAAGAGCAGAAATATGTTCCAAGCTTCTTTTTGCAACCATGGTATGCCCATCATAGATGACGGAGGAAAGTCTTGAGTGCTCTGGGACTGCTAGAATTGCCTTCACAATGCCTTGTATTTGTCCAAGGGAATTGCTGCACATTCAGCCGTCTTAACAGTATCAGCGGTTTATTGGTTTAATGTTTGGTAAGCTAACCATTTTGGGGAAAAATCAGACGTCTACTGTGAAAAATGAATATTGGTGTTGCATTGTACTCTGCCACCTGAGCACGGCTTTTTAATTAGTGTACTTCTTCCCCTCCTCTATGACTGTGTGTATTTATATCGGTCAAGTTAATATTACATTTTAAAATGTTCGACAAAGTGGTTTATCAGCGGCCTCTTGGACAGGCCCTTTTCCCTCTCTGATGTTAGCTCCGTTTAAGCCTCAGTTTCCCTTTAGAAACACTGGAGTATTTTATCCTTCCCGGATAGAACTATCAGGGATCATCCAGTAGGCAGTTCTCTAGTGAAGGCAACACGGCACCTCCTTCGGCTTTGATCCTCAGAAACCATAAAAAGAGGGAAGCACAAAGAGATCGTTGACATCTTCCCTTTCTTGTTGCAGCCATCAGTGCTCCCAAGGGTGAGAGGGGAGATGCCTTCAGGAATGGCATCATAGGCAAAATTAAGGGAGTTGCTGCCAGCGTGGTGTGATGGTTAAGCGTGTTGGACTAGTATCTGGGAGCCTTAGGTTCAAATCCCCATTTGTGCTGTGGAAGCCTGCTGGGTGACCTTGGGCCAGTCACACTCTGTTAGCCTAAACTACCTCACAGGGTTGTTGTGAGGACAAAATTGCGGGGAGCTGCTTTGGGTCCCCACTGGGGAGAACGGTGGGGTACAAATGAATTAAATAAAAGATAAACAGAATAAGGTATCAGCAGTAGGGAAAAATATAAAAAAAAATTATATTTTTCAGAACTGGGTTTTCTGAAGGACATAATCATTGGTTTTCCGCATTACTTGGGTCTCCAATTTCAGTATTCAGAGCTGGATTTTTTGGGGGATGCCAAAACTATCCCAGTCCATTAATCTCTACAGGGAATCTTCCTAGGGGACTGGAGAAGCAGTTTTTTGACCAAACGAAACCAAAATTGCCGCCAAGTTGGTGCTGCCTGTCAACTAAAGAATCCCTAAGTTTCAAGTGAATTGGCCCAAGAGGTCCGAATCTACGGACTCCTGGTGCCTACAGCCATCCTGTACTGATTCCTATGGGGAAAAAAATCCATATTTTCTCCAGGTTTTAAAAAAACATGCCAAACTCAAGAGGAAGCAAGCACAGGCTAAAAGCCTCCCAATGGAAACAAGCCCAACAACAAACCAGAGATTCTCAACAGAAAAAATAAATAAACCAATGTCAAACCAGAGAAGTCAAGCCAAACCAACTGAAGCAAGGGAGGGGAGTCCAGCCCAACTGAACCAATGTCAAACAACACAGCCCAAGTAGAACCCAGAGCAAGTGTGGCAGCACAAGCCCAACAGAACCAATCTCAAACAAGAGAATCCCAGTAGAAGCAACCTAACACACGACCCCAAGTTCCCATTTGCCTGTGAGAGCTGCCTCCATCCTCCCTCTCAGGAAACCTGCAAAAATCAGAAACAAAAACAAAGAACCCCCAAGGATGGCACTTTGAAATGCTGGCCCTGAACATTCCTGGAAAAACACCAAGTCTGGTGCTTTAAAACACCAGTCCTGGTTATTCCTGAATATTTCCATGAGACTTCAGGATACCGGTACTGACTGGGGTGTATCTGGAATATACACCAAAAATACTGATAAAATGTTTTTTGGGTATATTTTCGAACCAGATATTTCTGCAATCAACTCCCCCCTCCCACTCTACCATTTGGAGAAGAGCTCGTGCGAGAACGTGGAGGGAAGGTTCTGTACATGCAGCTTTTTTTTGCTGCAGGGTCTCCTAACCCTCAAGAGTGACTACTTGGAGGTAGACAGGTGAAATCAGATGCGGCAAAGATCCTCTTCACTCATGATTTCTTTAGATCCAAACCAGGTGAACATGGCCTCCCCCTCTCAAATTTGAAGCAGTTGGGAACTGTAAACCAAAGTCATGTTTTACAAATAGGAGTAGGCTTAATAGCTGTTTTCAAAAATTATACTCCTTACCCTAATTGTATCTCAGCATGCACCCTTCCACATAAGTGAAATGAATGAATACCACCCAACAGGAAGGAAAATGAAAACAAGAATCTGCACTTGGGACCACCTTACAATGAAGACAGGTTTTGCAGCCTCACAGTGGTAAACAGTTCTTGCTACAGCCAGCCAAGTAAGCATTTCCAGTACCAAAAACTCTAGCCTTCTTTTTAAAAGTCCTAGAAAAGCTAGAAGTGCAAAGTAATGCAGCAATGCTAGGACTGACATGCTGCACCAAAACAGGATCTGGGAACACCCCAGAGAAAATTAAGTGTTAAGCAGAAGCGGGAGTTCAGACACAAACAGTACCTCCATGATGATGTGACAAACTCCCTCCATTAGCAAGGATTTCTTCTCTAGCTGCACTCTGAAAGAAAGAAAGCTAAATTATCCATCGATCCAGTTTTGGCTGAAACAACCAAGATTACCCCCCCTTATTCACTTAGAGCTAGCAATCTGATGCCGACCAAGGTTTACAATACCTGGCAGAATAAGGCTCCGCCTGCAATCCTAATAAGCATCTGAGATGGTAACTTTTACCATCTTGCACACTACCTGTATCGAGAGATAAGCTTTCAAACTTCTGAACCCCCCCACCCCCGGTGAAATACTTTTCATAAGAACATAATGTTGGATCAGGCCAAAGGCCCATCCAGTCCAACACTCTGTGTCACACAGTGGCCAGAAATACCAGGTGCCATCAGGAGGTCCACCAGTGGGGCCAGGACATTAGAAGCCCTCCCACTGTTGACTGTTTTCAAATCCTGGCTAAGATACAGACTCTACCTGAAGAGGATGAACCTTAATGGATGGCATACCATTAAGCATTGCACATATATGAAGCTAATCGTAACAGTTTAAACCAGTGTCTGATACTAACCACTCATGGATTTGTGTCCCATGATTTTACCAAAAGGGTGGGGAGTACAAGGTGGGAGATGCCCCCTCCCTCTCTGCCACTGCCTTCCCCCTTCCCTAGTGTACCTTCCTGCTTTCACTGCCTTTCTCGTCCTTCCCTGCTGCCTTATTTTTCCTTGTCAGTGGTGGCCATGGACACCTTCAACAATGTTTATGGGGTTCCCAAGCAACCCACAAAATGGCAGCTGAGCTACAACTCACAAGATCACACCCCCCCCCCCTTTTCTGGCTGTGGTTTTTGTTTTTAAATACTCTCTCTTTTTTCATTCTCAGATTTTTCTGCAAACCCAAGGTTTCCCCCAGATTTGTAGAAAAATCCCTCCTATCTATACATGGCCGCACTGTGGAAATTTTTTTGATCTGTATTCTGGGGTCATGCATATTGCTCTATTACCACAATTACTTATCAATAACATGAGAGTGACACGTAGGTACCTTACCTCAATTTCTTCATAAACATGAATAGGGTCGCTTATTCCTCTGTAGTTAAAGCCCAAATAGAAATACACACATGCACCAGCATCATAGGTCTGCGTCACCCTGTCGTTTAAAAAAAGGGTTAGATATACCACAGTACTCTGAATAAAAGCTAGTTCTCAAGATGGAGCACAGAACTGTTGGATCCAAAGATTCCATTTCCACTAATGGGAGTACTTTCCTCCAGTGGAAGAAGGACCCTGGAACACTCTTCCTCCCCAAAACAGGGAGAGAGATCACTTGGATCTAGCCCTAAGTTCTCCATGAGCCCACAAAAAATCCAAGTTAGAATGACAGAAAGGTGTATGGCACAGAAAGTATCTAACAGTCCTTAGTGCTCTGTGTTTTATTCCTGAATTTTTAGTGTCATATTGCAATTTTCTTTTGGTTTTTATCTTGTACATTGCCTTGAGTGTTCTTCAGATGGAAAGGCAGACTAGAAACGCTAAACAAGTCAGTAAGAAACAGGCTGAACGTGCAAATAAATATGTAACAGCTTTAGTTAGGGATTGCCTGTTTTGAAAAGCAAAAAAGGGAACATATTTCCAGACTGTCTATTTCAAACAAGTGATCACTATGACAAATCTCATTTTAAATATCCCTATTTAAGCTGTGATAACTGCTACTAGGTAGGCAAATTCCTAGCCTTCCAACCCAAAAAGAGGACATTTTCATCAGTGTTTTTTTTAAAGAGTCCAAAAGGTGACAGACATCAAAAAAGGAGGATATTTGGTAAATCTATCTTTAGCACAGAGGTGGCTTTGGGTGTATTTTTATGGAGACTGTGGCTAATCGATTAAAACAAAATTAGAAAGGCAAAAACTTTTAGATCCTATTAGTCAAACCATGGGGAAAAGGTACGATGCTATGGAAAGTGTAATATAGTCTGGTGATAATGAAGGTCTGCACACGAGGAACAAACTGTGGGGTGGAAGTTCTGTTTCGTCAACACAACTCGAACAGGATTACTCTTTGGAAATTCCCTAATATCTTCCATATGTTCAAAATAAATGTTTGAAAGCACAGAGTGGTTCACAGTTTCAGCTTTCCTAAATAATTCTGAAAACCATGGCGTACGATAACCTGGGCACTTGGTCCTGAAGTTACTGTTCTACGACCAGAGCCTTAATTGTAGCCATTGCTGGGTGCCTTTTTATACAGTTTAAAAGATAGGTTCCCTTTATTTTATTTACATGCGACTTCAGAATATTTGACCAAAGAGGCAGACTGAAATATGTAGAAAAGATTTCCCCTAAATTGAAATTTATCTGATATATTAAATTTCCTTAAAGCAATGCTAGCATTTCCAGAATGTTCATACAACAACATGAATATGGCTTGTTAGATAACATTTTATTTTATAACCTCCTACTTAAGGCACTTGACTAGTGAACATCTGATCAGTCCTCAACAGGATATTTTAACATAGCAAAAAGTAAATTCATGTACACACAAAAAAGCTGTTTTTATGCGTTATCAGAACTTCAGTGTGGTGTAGAACTCAGAGTATCAAACTAGGATCTGGGAGACAAGAGGTTCGAATCACCACTCTGTCATGGAAGCTTGCTGGGTGACCTTGGGCCAGTCATACACGCTTAGCTTAACCTACCACACAGGGTTGTTGTGAGGATGAAATGGAGGAGAGAAAGATGGGAGGCCACTTTGGGTCCCCACTGGGGAGAGAGGCGGGGCATAAATGAAGTAAAGGATAATAACCTGCTTTCTCGGTGCATCAGTATACTATCAGTATACCCCTGAAACACCTTAAGACAGAAAACGTGTTTTTCAGGAAAGCGACAGAATCCACAAATAAAACAACAGGATGAAAGCAGCATAAAATGAAGTTTTCCCATTACACGTTATAAACTTAGAAAACCAAAAGCAAGGAGGGCTGAACTCACATCCTATCTTTTAATTAGTTTACTTACTTCCTTTATAACCCCCCTCCTCTCTCCAGTGGGGGTTCTGAAGTGGTTTACATTGTTCTCCTCTCCTTCATTTTATCCTCATAACAACTCTGGGAAGCTGTTTAGGCTGAGAGCGCGTGACTGGCCCAAGGTCACCCAGCAGCTTCCATGGCAGAGCGGGGATTTGAACGTTGGTCTCCCAGAGCCTAGTCTGCCATTCTCTACAACGCATTGACCGGACAGTTTTACTGCATCATTCCACTACTGATCTATTCCACTACAAAGGGAGAGGCCATTAAGAACTGAGCCTTACCGACAGGTAGCAAAAGGTGGAAACTGAACACCTCTCTCTTTGCATTCTTTTACTATTCTTTCCTTTACATTTCTGCAGAGGTCTAGAACCCTGAAAAAGAAGAAGGAAGTTGAGAAACAAGTACTGATCCTCTTTGCACCGTTTTCTCTCTTTGGGCTCCAAAATATCCCCCTCTTCTGTCAGGACTTTACCCCTGATTGCAGGCTTGTACCTAGTAACAGTGCTGTGTAGACAGCTCCTTCAATTTAGCTTTAATTCCCTTGCTGGATAGTCCGACTCCACAGCACCCCTGCATGTGGTACAGATGGCCTGGGTCAGATATGGGCTGAAAATGATTGGGCTGGAAGATTAAACATTCAGTAAATACACGTCTGAGTTGGTTCAAGAAACCACCATGTACTTTCAGAGCTGAAATGGTCTAACACATAAGAGGACACTTCACCAAATGCGGAAGCACACTTCTCTCAAATCCTGAACACAACACAGGAAATTATTCTGGAGTTTCACATTCCACATGAACGACAAATATGTTTGTGAGGTTCCTCCTAGTGTTATAGGACCAGCCAGAGAGATCGATTGGAATGGTTTCTGGAAGACGGAACGGAGGAAGCATTTCATTCGCTGACCAGTGCTAAGGTTGAAAAATTGTAGAAGCCAAAAATGAGAGATCACGGGAGGAACTGGAATTCCAAAAACGTGTGAGCGATAATAGAAAATTTTCTACAGAAATTACTACAGTAAACCATTTTGCAACTTATCTTTATTGACTCTTCGTTATTTTTGTCACAAAGGTTGAAAAATTAGCTATCAAGTGTTTCATTCTTATAATGGGTTCTTAAATAGAACTGAACGTTTTAATGCAACTAAAACACAAGATAACTCCTATTGCTAAAGCAGGCTTCAAACAGGCCATCTTCCTGTTTCCTAGAACACTTAGTGATGTTTTGCTATGCCAGAGAACGTCTGCCACATTAGAACATTAAATCTGAGACAAAAAGCAATCCTCTTACCTATCCCAAGGAACGGATGTCTCAAACGATTCTCCTATTAAATAATAATCCATACCCACGTCCTGTTTACAGTAACCGGGAAGAAAAAGTTTCAGGTTAGTATTCCTAAAGGTTATTGTAAATCTATAGGCTTTGTCTGCTATTAGTTTTGTGCATCACTATGCATAATTACAACACTATTTTAAAGCAACCTGTTTACACTTCTGGCAACCTACATTTGTCAAGAGAATATCACAGAGGTCACAGCTAAATCTGAAATACTTAGATCAACAAATGGTCCTAGCACCTTTCACCTTCGGGCACTGGGCGGAAGGAAGACATGCTATGAAGACCAAGTTATTTTAAATTAGGAGAAAGTAACAGGTAATTTTTAGTGATCCCTGGGATGATGGACCATATTCTTCCTGGGAAACACCAAATTAATTATTTTCATTTGCATAACAAATGGATAACAAAATTACCAAATGAATTCTGATCTCCTGAATACTCAGCTACTCTTAATGCTGCATGTAAGCGTGGTAAACAGCCTGTTTCTGGGTTGGGTTTTGTTTCGTTTTTGATGTTTCTAAACTTTGCAATGAAACTCCCAATACAATTTACAGCTTTTCCCCATATAAACAAAAATAGTTCCTCATTTATACAAACATGGTAACCAACAAGATAGAGTTCATGCATGAAGTAAACCATTCGTCATGGGATCCAGATAGGGCTGCCAAGTGGGGGCGGGTAACCCCCCGCTTTGGAGGCCCGATTTCCGCCACCGCGGAATCAGGCCCGGGGGGAACTCCACCCCGGCGGTCGCATCACCAGGAAGTGACGTGGGCACGCCGGGCATGCTGGGGGCGGGGCCACAGCCATACAAGGGAAAACTCTATGGTTTTCCCTTGTATGGCTGTGGCCCCGCCCCCAGCGTGCCTGGCGTCCTCCCGTCACTTCCGGGTGACGTGCATGCGGCGCACGCACGCATACAAAAGACGCCAGCCGGGAGCCCCCCGCTCCCGGCGAAGATATACTTGGCAACCCTAGATCCAGAAGGGAACATTACGACACTCTGTTAACTTTCATCCCTATCAGCTTTGCACGGATACAAAAGTGTTTCTGCAAATAGCTTATTGTTCCCAAACTTCTCATAGATGAGGCATATTTTCCATTTTTCTTTCTTCTGTATGTACGACTAACTACCCACCTCCAGAGGTGCCCACTCCTGGTGCTTCAACACAAGTTAATGACCTGAGCCTGCCTCTGGAGGGGAAGGAGGCAAGTCTAGGACAGCAAATCGCATAGACCTGTCACAATGTGGATCCATTGACCCCCCTCACACAAGGATCACAAATCTTCCCTGCTTCCCCCCAGGACTCCTCAAGCCACGGGACCTGCATGGCATAACAGGCAGATTAAGTAGGCTGCAGTGAGGAGAGGGCAAAGGTGCACCATCCTCCCTTTTAAGAACATGAGAACATAAGAGAAGCCAATGTTGGATGAGGCCAATGGCCCATCTAGTCCAACACTCTGTCACACAGTGGCCAAAAATACCAGGTGCCGACGAAAGAGACAGGAAGTGCAATATTGCTCCTTACTTTGTACCCTTAGCTATTCCTTAGGGCAATTCAGTAAGCTTGGCACCCACATGTCACAAGGATGGTGCCAACACCCACCGTTCTAGTTGCGAGTTAGCTGGACTGGTAGGATTAATACAGGGATTGTTGTAATACCTTCCCCCAGGACTGCCTCTTGTGGTTCCATTTTAGCGCTAAACCATGCAACTGACAATGAGGAAAAAACTGCCCACCAAACTAATGTCTATTGTGAGATTGAAAGCCTGCCGTCTGATCTCCTCTCTTAGAACCCTCGTCCAGATCGAAGCTGCGATCAGTGTTCCCTCGAAGCTGAGTTAGTGTGAGCTAGCTCACAGTTTTTAGCCTCCGGCTCACACATCTTTGTCTCAGCTCAGAAAGGATGGCTCGAGAGCAAATTTATGCAGTAGCCAAATTGCTTGCTCTCACAACCTTAATGCCAGTAGCCCACAAAGTAGAATTTTTGCTCACAAGACTCCACAGTTTAGAGGGAGCATTGGCTGCAATGCCTAAAAGGCAGGGGTCTTGTTGTAGAAAAAGAGCTGCCGGAGCTCATTAGCATAACTCATTAGCATAACTTATTTGCATATGCCACGCCCCCTGACATCACCGGAAGTGACAGAAGGCCACACCCCCTGACATCACCGGAAGTGTGTCAGAAGGCCCGGCTACTTACCCTCCTGCTTCATCCTCATTCCCAAACGGAATGAGGATCGAAGCAGAGGGCGGGGTAAAGAAGGGGGCGGGGCTTCACCACGTGACCGCCCCGCCCCCTAGAGGTTCTCTTCCGGAGCTCCGTACCTGAGAGCTTCCCCCCGACTAGAGCCCTGCTAAAAGGTATGTGAAAGTACTGAAGCAATTCTATCTTAAAGAGTCTCCTTAGCAGAAGAGCTCTAAACAGAAACGTGGATGTTTCCGCAGGAGAATGTGCATCTTAGGCACACATAAAAAGTTACACACACAGACAAAAAGTCTTTTTAAAAAACGAGACACCCACCCGAAGGTAAGCAATGACGAACGTTAACATGTAGCCTCTCTGCCCATTGTCTTCTCCAGCTGCCAGACCCCTACAATTTGAAAAGGCAATAAAACATCAGTGTAGAACACAACAAAATAATAACTGCGACATGGAACAGTCAACACACAGCAAGAAGGATTCAAACCAAGACATCTGGACAGATCCAGAAATTCAGTCTGGGATGCATCGGGATGGACTCAAAGATGTTGTTCTGCCACCACTTATGCTAGGATAATAGAACTTCTGTTGGCTGAGGAAGGGGGACCTTTTTTGCCCATTTCCCCCTCCCACTATGACCACCCCGTGTTGTTTGTCCCCTGATCCTTGGGAGCAGAATTTCAGTGGGCTCATTGGGCTGCAGCAGGAAAGTCTGCTCATGGGACCTGGAACCCATCCCAGTAATTTTAATATGACAGAAAACCTGACAAAGAGAACTGACCACAGTGGGATAACAATCATATAATTACAACATTTATATTGTAATAACCCTTTAATATTGCTTTGCTTAACTTCAGTACTAAGATGCAAAACTTCTGCCTCAACACACAAAGTCTCTGTTCATCTCCATTCCAAAAGGCATCATGGAAACGGAGAGCCTGTCGAGTATTATAGGTTTGCAGACTCTGTTCTTTAGTTGAGGAGCACATGTGTTGTTTTATTGGAAGAATATGGGGGGGGGGGATGACACATCCCATACAGCAAGCACTTATATCCTTGTAACAAGCAGCATTTCGGTACTACGACAATTCTGTTTTTTAAATAAGTTTTTTTTAAAACAAAGCACACAAGGTCTCTCTCTAAAGTGCTTTATCCTGCCAACTATTTTATACCTCAAACTGCACACTTTTATTAGAAAATACTGTGCCTCCTGTTGACCTGAAAACAGTATTTACCCAAATCCAAGACTAGGTTTTCTCCACCGCTATGTAATAAAAAGGAGGGGTCATCTTATATTTGCATACAAGTTACAATTATACCTAGTAATAATTTGTGTGTGCGTGTAACAAAAGTGGAAGCAGAACCTCTGAATATAACCTCTTAGGTTTTTCTTTGCTTCTCTTTTTTAAAGGACAATTGGTGTGCTTGGCTGACTTCGCTTTCTTAACTAATTTAGTAGAGAACAAAGTAGGTCACTGGGACAGCAAGAGATGGGAGTAGGGGAGAGACTTTACTATTTGCTAGCAACTAACAGGAGCAAAACAATCTCTCAATTCTTTACAAACTTGGGACTTGTGGGAAAAGATCGTAAGTAAACAGACTTCCTGATGCCAAGGAGATGACTTCCATGAAAGGAGCAAGAATGCATTTCACATATTTAGCCATAAAAATCAGGATAACCATAAAATCAAGTTCCAAGCACTGTAAAGTAGGTTTGCAGTTTGTTACCCGCCCTGCTTGCCTGAGGCCAAGGGGCAAAACTGCACTGCTGGCCACACAGACAATTCAAGTGAGTTTGGATTGGCTATCTCCATATATCTTTATTACATTTTTGGGGACCTGGAGGGAGAAGGACCTCTAACAGCTAGCTGGACATGTAGCTCAATATGGCTACAGATAGTCATGGTCAGAGAACACAACAGGCTTCTTGGGTTTCTGGCAGTGCTTTCTTCCACTGTCAGAAAAACAAAGAATGCAGAGGCAGCCAGTCTCAGGAAACAACTGCTAAGTGGGACAGGCTTTATGGCTGGCTTAAGAGTTCATTCTGCCTTGAAGAGACAGTACCTCTTAAAATATTGGCTTGGACCCAATGGAGCATTTCTGCAGGCAGAAGGATTTCTGCCTACAGTGTGTGACTTCCTCACCTCCTGTTGTAGCCCCAAATTACACACCCCCAGCAATTTGGCCTGCAGCAGGAGGAGGGATGTGAGAAAGCCGTACTCAGCAGGCAGAAGTCCTTCCACCTTTGGAAGCACTCCTGGATTCAACCCACAGGCAGCTGCCTGCCCTGACTCCTCCCTTCGTCTTCCTAACTGCAAAGCGGTTAAAAAAATGCACACAAACATCAATAAACAATTGCACATTTCAGAAGGTAGTTTACTTCCATTGTTGTCCGTCCGTCCCCCCCTATCAAGACTACATTTATGAAAGAACATTTTGGCCCTTCTATACAATATCAAGCACTGCAAATTGTTAAGGGTAGCGAACTTCTATTCACTTGCAAAAAAGGAAGTCACTTATACAGCAACAGTTACTTGATGAATAATTTGTTTAAACGGGAAATAAAGCTGTGGCTCGGGCAACGTCTTCACCCGGTGGTTTCATTGATCAGCCCCCATAATCAATCAAGCCACATGGACACAAACCACACTATCATTACTCAGTTTGTTATTGAAGTGAAATGTTTTCTGTTCCTTTCTAGCAGCACAGAGCAATCAGTGACAGGAGGTGGGGTACAGATAATCAATCAAGCCCTGCTGATTAAAGACAATTTCCGTTTAAAAACAGGCTCGCTCCAGTTGCAGCTCTGGTCAATAATGCACAGTATTATGCCTTCAATCTAAAAAACACGGATTTCCTTCACCAGGTTAGGACCAGCTTGTTTAATGTCACAAAACTTCCTTGCCTTATTTGGAGGCAAAAGGAAAGGCTTCTCAACAGCCACAACTTCATTCTTCATTTAGGTATTTACTTTTATTGTCTATTTCATAGTATTTTATTGACTGTTAGTCAATGATGCTAGGATGGAAAGGGAGGGGAAAATATTTCAAAGTATTATAGTGGTAAATTCATATTTTCTTCTCATTGCAAGCCCCCAGAAGAGTGTGTGCCCCCCCAAAAAGCAAATTTATTGGTTTCATCTTCTCAGCTACATTTCTACCCATTAGGCAATGACATTTTTCTGCTCATTTCTATGACTTCATGCTGACTTTCTGAAATGGTCCTATGTTACTGAAAACCATATGACTTTCATCAAAGACCAATTCCCACTCGTAACTGCACAAAGCTTTTGGATATTTCAGATAAGTAGTATCAGAAGGTAAAATCCTCAGGTCATACCCGAATTTTGCAGCGATATCATAAACTTGCTTTTCGTGCTGAAGGACCTTTTCTCTGCTGCCCTCAAAAAGCAAGGTGGCGACACATAATAGGTTGGGATCAAATCCTTTAAACTGCGGAAAGAGGGGCAAGCTTTGTCACACAAAAGTAACACGTACAGCAAAATGACATTTTTCAAGTTAATCTTCCTCTAAGTAATATAACAGTGCAACAATATGTTCATTTCCACCATACTTCTGTTTGATACCACAAGTGGCAGATTTTAAGCAAATGTTAGATGGCCATGACCTGGATTGCTCTGACCTGGATAGCACAGGCTAGCCTGATCTTGGAAGCTAAGCAGGGTTAGCCCTGGTTAGTATTTGGATGGGAGACCAGGGTTGCTACTGCAGAGGCAGGCAATGGCAAACCACCTCTGAATGTCTCTTGCCTTGAAAACTCTGTGAGGGGTTGACATAAGTCAGCTGCTATTTGACGGCAAAAAAAAAAAGTTGGAGCACAAAGCAGGGGAAATAAAAAGTATTTGTGTGTGTAATACATCCATTTCTCTGCGAATGTTCACGACAAAGAGTTGAGATCATATCCAGTCCTGTTTGAGGCGTACTTTGAAGGTTTGTCTGGGATGAGGGGCAACAAACAAGCAGTAAGAGGTGAAATGTGTAGAACAAATTTAGAGCCCGGGGGGCACCTTTAAGACCAACAAAAGTTTATTCAAGGTATGAGCTTTCGTGTGCAAGGCACGCTTTTTCAAACACAAGCTCATACCTTGAATAAACCTTTGTTGGTCTTAAAGGTGCCACTGGACTCTAAATTTGTTTCTACTGCTTCACACCAATACGGCTGACTACCTGGGTGAAATGTGCGCTTGCTTCATCCAGTTTTTATCAATGAACACATAGTTAAGCAATTTACTTGACCTACTGGGCATCCAACTCATCTGGCCACTGCTAGCTTGAATATCTGAGGGATGCTATTGACGTCAGATACCTGGTTTAAACTTCATCGTAAAATTCTCCTTCTGCACAAGTGTGGTTAGCGCTCGGGAGAATGCTAAATATCATTCTGTGTGGGTTTAAGATTTAACTAAAGGTAAAGGTTCCCTTGCTCGAATGCCAGTCAAATCCGACTCTAGGGTTGCGGTGCTCATCCCCGTTTCAAAGGCGAAGAGCCAGCGCTGTCCGAAGACATTTCCGTGGTCATGTGGCCGGCATGACTAAACACCAAGGTGCACGGAACGCTGTTACCTTCCTGCCGAAATGGTACCTATTTATCTACTTGCAATTTCTTGCTTTCGAACTGCTAGGTTGGCAGGAGCTGGAACCAGAGATGGGAGCTCACTCCATCAATTAATCCTATAAGGGTTAGCATGAGTGAGGATACACACACACACACACATAAAATGAGACTAAAATAAAATACCTTTGTGATGTAGAATTTTTTCAACCCATCCAAAAGTGATGTAAAAATGGAAGCAACCTGTGGTTTAAGAGCATGTCCTTGGCAGGGGGTAGAAAAAGAAAAAAATTGTAAGATGACAGCAAATATTAACAATACAAACCTGGATTCTGGTAAGAGTTCTACTTCCGAACAACAAGAGATTCCCATTAACGTAAGGTGAGAGCAAATACCCTTTTCTGTAGGCTCAAGCAGAAAGTGCTTCAACTTGTCCCAGTCTGGACTGTGGGCACTGTTGCAAGGGATTTAAGGCTAACTATATACACTTTTACATAACTGTAAAACACTGGCAAACACAATATAGCTATAAAACTCTAAATCTTGGGCTGCACAGATGTTCAAAAAAAGGAATCACTGTAGTTATCTCTTCCACATGGAGAGCCTGACCCTTCCACCACATGACAGGCGTCACGAAGGGATGGGGTCACGAAGAGTTGGACTTGACTGTGCGACTGAACAACAACAAAAATCTAACTTTGGCTGACAGGACTGAAGGAGAGTGAAGTGTGTTCCCCACCTTTAACTCCCGCTGCCCCCATAGTCTGACCAGGGTACGTCTTACACAGTGGCTTCTATCCTACCACTCAGTTCCAAAGACAGAATGCCGGGGCGGGGGGGGGGGATGTTTTAAGCTGTTTCCCCTGCTCTTACTGTAGACCCCCCAACACACCCTTTGCGTTCTGAGCAGCTCCTGACTTCCGGGAACATAAAGACTTGATGTGGCTGGAGACACGCCCCAAAGCTTTCCTGTTTGCCGCTCCTACTTCCAACTCATGAACTCTCAATGGAGGGTTGGTATGATCATCTTGAGCCAAACACCTACTTCCCTCAGCCTACTCTGCATTCCCAAAAGGATTCCAGATGGTGTTTACATGAGCTGGCTAGTGCAACTGCTGATGTTTCATGGCATCTTGTTTCTGGCACTTTTTCAACTGCTTGTTTTTAAGGCTGTCACCTAATTAAGACAATCCTAGACCAGTAACTGCAGGAGCTTTAATTGATTAAAGAAGGACCCAGCGAAGGAGTAAATCACTAGCCGCAAAGGGAAATAACGCAGTTTTTAGATCTTTGTCAACGTGTATCATAGTAGGCACCACCTTGGAAGAGGCAAAAGGGTTTTTTTAAACAGCTGAGTTACGCCCTTCTAATGCAGTTGACTTCGATGAACGTGGAAGGGTGCAACTCTGACTAGAATGGCACTGTAAATGCTGCAGTCCTGATCTTATTATATGACTTTAAATGAATTTTGAATTTTATTTCAAATGGTTTGAGAGGCTGGGGCATATATGAAAATACCCTTACTGTTCTCTCTCCACCTGAAAAGCAGACTAATTCCAGCCACACGTCGACCCTTTTACGGAATCAAGACCCTGCTGCCAATCGCCTCATCGTCCCCCCTGAAATCTTGACCCAAAAGGCTGAGGAGTCAGGGTCTTGGACTGGCATCAGAGCAGACAGACTGGGATCCAAAGACCCACTGGAATTTTACTGTCTTCTTTGTACTTCAGATCCCTCCGCCTTAACAAGTTAGGACCCTCCACTTTCAAAAGCGGTTTGGTTAGCATGAGGTTACTTTGTACTTGTAACGATATAGAATAACTTTGGTGTCTTGAATTGGGGAACACCAAAAGTTACACTGGGGTCTCAGGTGTTTGCATTCTTTATTGGCTGTGCAGAGCCCAAGTGTCCTATACTGTCTGATACCAACTTCCTTTCCTGAGAATCAAGGCTCAACAGATTGCCACGGAGTTGGAAGATAACAACAAGCTTTGTATATTGAAAAGGGAGAGGGATTTTTGGAGATGGAGAAAAGAAACCCATCAACAAATAGGAGATAACTTTTGGGCTGCTATGCTGCTAGTTCTTTTGTAGATGTATGACAGCTTCCTACCGATAAATATTTTAAAGATGTGTCTTTCTTGAACTCAGTATTTTTTCACATTGCAACGAACATGCAGTTGGGAATGGTCTCCCTTTTTGTCATAAGATTTAAATAAGTTTAACCAGTTAATTGAGACTTCTGGGCTCTGGGAACTGACCTCCTCAGAAGGGCCATATGCAGATGCAACAGGAGAAATGGTAAGCCTAGAAGGGAGAAAGGCCTCAACATCCTGTTCCCAATCCCTTCCCCTGTAATTAAGGGATGTCTGCACTGGCCCCTGCCTGCCAAAGTATCGGACCAGTTCATGTTTGATGTAAAACCACAAAAACAAACAGCAAATAAATAAAAACTTACCAAACTGGAACTGTTGATTGTCCATAAGGCGAATGGATGCAGGAGCACATCTCTGAACAGACAAATTGTGAATCAGTAGAGAAAATTAAATTAAGAAAACGTTACTGAGAATATCTCCCATGCATTCACTCTAACACCTCAACACTGACTTCTACAGAATTCTGTGCAGCAGCAGACATTACAGAAGACAAAATGTGGTGTGTAAAAAGTGCATTATATCACATCCAGTCAAAATGTGGTCTTTCATAATGTACTTTTATATGCAGCCTTTGAGAATGTTGGATTCCCACCTCCATAAGTTTACATTTCACAGCTATGCCTTGCCTCGTATACAGTCCATCTTTATCGATTCACAGTTTTCATTTTTGAACAGAAATATTTTTTTTGCTCTTTAAAAATAGTGAAAATAATCTGGACTGTTAAATTTAATAATAAAAACAGACAACCATCCCAGGTACACTTGAGTCAAAATGTAGGGCTGTTATTACAAACACATGGGAACTGCTGCTTAGGTCACTGAAACATGGGTTAAAGGATTACACCATGTTCTGCCCTTGGGCGTAAACATATTCAGTACGTTTGTATAGGCAGTTCTACTCTGAGCAGTTCATTGGCACAAAATAAAACAGGCACTGAGTCCTTGAGGGATAATTTTAATTATGGCATTGAAAGGAAGGGAAGTGATTTTAAATCACTCCATTTAAGTTTGTCATGTACCAGACTGGAATCATTGTATTCTGAGAAACATCCCTATAGAGAAGAAGAAGAGGAGATTGGATTTATACCCCGCCCTTCACTTGGCGTCTCAGAGCGGCTTACAAACTCCTTTCCCTTCCCCTCCCCACAACAGACACCCTGTGAGGGGGGTGGGGCTGAGAGAACTCTGACACAAACTGCTCTTTTTCAAGGACAGCTGTGCCAGAGCTTGTGACTGACCCAAGGTCACATCAGCAGGTGCAAGTGGAGGAGTGGGGAATCAAACCCGGTTCTCCCAGATTAGAGTCCATGCACTTAACCACTACACCAAACATAGGTTTAAAATACCGTATTTAATAAACTTTACCTGCCTACCCGCTGCGCAGGAAGTACACGGATACACCCAAACATAGATGTCAACAACTGATCTACTTCCAGGGCTCAGTAATAGCCCTGGGAGAAAGCTGAGTCAATGGGGCAGGGGCTACTTGGCTAAACTTGCTGCTGGCTGCCAGCTCCCTGCCCTCCTCCCAAGGCAGGGCGGCCTTCTCAGTAATCTAGATCAGCCTGTCCCCATCTACTCCTCCTCTTTGCAGCTCCAGATCACTGAGAAGAGGAACAGCTGAAAAACACTCTGGGAATAAAGGCGTATAATACTTTTAAAGAGGTCTAACTTCAGCTCTGGAAGCAGGCAACTAGGCAGTGCTGACAGTATCTAAAAAGTGCATTCAAACCAACTGGAACTCTCCCAGCTGCACAGTTATAACCTCCGTTTTTAAAGAGCTTAGGACACAAGTTACAGAAAGACAGGACTGTAGCATTAAGTTAATGTATGAATGCATAGCCAATTTCCAAGAAGATGAACGGGGTAGTACTCCTTTCAACCCATTTCTCAACCCTAAAGAGAAGCAGGCAGACCAGAGCTCGCCCCCTAGTGAAAGTATTCAGATACTGCTATTTTTCTCTGGAAAAGTTCAATGGAACACCAGATAAAAAGATACTTGAAGAGGTTTACTTTACCTGCTTTGCTACTTCTCTTAAACAGGCTACCCCTCTCTCAAAGTTTGGAAATACGACAGATCCATACTTTTGGTATTCAGGGACCGGTCGGATTTTTATTGTGACTTCGGTTACCACTCCAAGGGTTCCTTTATAAAAAGAGGAAAATCATTATTTGGTTGCAGCAGTTAAAAGATTTACAAAACTGCTCTATGATTTCATAGGCAAATACAGAATACTTGAAGGTATACTGGTTAAATTAGGTTTCAAAATTTTGGGTTTAGTCCATTTTTTGAGGAACACTTTGATATTCCAGAATTCCAAACAGTTGTACACAATTATCGTATACTTCTGAAAGGGTGATAATTATGTTTCTGACTGCAGGAACACTCCAGCTCCAGAGACCAAATATGGCAATAGATATAAGGTACCTATAAAAAGGTAAAGGTTCCCTTGCTCGAAAGCCAGTTGAATCCGACTCTAGGGTAGCGGTGCTCATCTCCGTTTCAAAGCTGAAGAGCCAGCGCTGTCCGAAGATGTTTCCGTGGTCATGTGGCGGGCATGACTAACTATAATCCAAGATTAATGCTACCATAATCTAAGAATGCCATATTTTGACTTGGGTCCCATGGTAAATTTCCGCCAAAGGAAAGACGGTGATTTTTGCCAGTTCCTCTCTTTCACTTTTGTTGTTGTTGTTCAGTCACACAGTTAGGGTTGATTTCACTACAGGCACCCAATTTGCCTATCATGCTGCTTCTGAGGGTCCTATCACCTAGGGGAGGCCTTTTGGGAAAGTATTTTGGGCTGTCAGGGGAAAAGTCCCATTTCACTGACTGAAAGTTCTTCTTTTAGCAAAGGCTTACCATGGGACCCAAGCCTTTGGCTAATATTTCATCACACATGTTTTACTGCATTAGCTCAAAGCCATGGTTAATATTTAGGCACTCAGAAAAGAGGAATGCAGTCTAACCCAGCTCAATAGGGGGGAATCTTTTTTTTCCATTGATTTATGTAGCACGCTAGGTATTGTCACCAATTGTTTTCTGGTCACAGAAAAATTTAGAATTTTCACTGAACATGCCTGAATTGCAATTGTTAGTATCAAACAGAGCATCTAAAAAGGCCTTCTAGTATTTTTGCTGGAAGACCAGAGACGATAGCTTGAATTCCATCAACATTTACTGCAGATGAAGTGCCTTTCTGCTGGTGCTGTGTGTTTTCCAGCATATGCTTTTCAACTGATTCCCTTCTAATCTAGATCCTTTCTTTACCATCTCTCCCCAATCTTATTAGTGTGGGTCAACACCATACGTAGAACCTTCAGAGGGTTCAGCACGATACAGCTTGAGAAGAGATGGAAAAGGCCCATTCTGCAAGGTTTGCACTAGTCACAGTTGACTGGATACAAACAGAAAAGATACCTGGTTAAAAAAGCAGAAAGGCCTTCAGAGAAAAGGGAACAGGTTAGCCTAGGTGGACCTTGAAGGGCTGTCATATAGAGGATGGTACGGAGTTGTTTTCTGTTGCCCCAGAAGGTCAGACCAGAACCAACAGGTTGAAATTAAATCAGCAGAATTTTCGGCTAAACATCTGGAAGAACTTCTTGACAGTTAGAGTGGTTCCTCAGTGGAACAGGCTTCCTCAGGAAGTGGTGGGCTCTCCTCCTTTGGAGGTTTTCAAACAGAGGCTAGATGGCCATCTGACAGCAAGACTGATTCTGTGAACTTAGGAAGATCATGAGAAGGAGGGCACAAAGGGTTGGCTCAGTGCTTAGTTCTTGTTGCCCTTTCTTACACGCCCAGGGAAATGCTGATTGCCACTTTGGGATCAGAAAGCAATTTTTCTCCAGGCCGGTTTGGCCAGGGATCCTGTGGGTGTGGAGGGGGAGATATTTGTGAATTTCCTGCCTTGTATTGGGGGTTGGACTAGATGACTCTGGAAGTCCCTTCCAACTCTAATATTCTATGACCTCCCCTGCTGGTAGCAGTTGACAATTACCTAGCTAACCTAGTTACCCAGTTGTCAGAAACCCTCCATCACATTTTTTTAACCTCTTACTCTTAATAAGAGTAAAAGAGTTGGCTTCAATATTTGAAGTGAGATTCTGAAGAGCTCAGTAAAGGGTTTGAGAAGAGTGTGTAGGAATTTGTAAAGACTGAACTTGGACTGCTGACTGAATATTCAACAAAATGCACTTGTGGTGGATCCTGGATCGAGACCAATGCCTATGCACACAAGGACCGCTGCACTGCACCTGAATTCTCCCGTCATCATGTGAGCAGGCACTGTGCCAGGCCACGATGGGAAATGGGTGGTCTCTTGCATGCCTCCCATATTGCTAGGGTGGTCAGAGCTCACCTTTCTTGAGAGGGTAGGCTATGAAATGAATGGCACATGTTGGAGGTGTCAGCAGGCTTCCCACTCCCTTCCTGGAGAGAGTGTTTGTGGGAAAACCAGCCCGTTACACCATATGGAGATTGCCCTGCATTAAGGTGCTTTTACGCACTATGGTCTAGATCGAGCTTTAACACTATCAAAATTAACTTCATTTTTTGTACACTTGTAGACTGTGTACACGAGCCTCGTTATTCAACTTTCACTTGGTTGCTGTCTGCAAGTAACTATTATAATTGGAACTTAGGAAGATCCCTCCAGGTTCCACAAAGAACTAACCCCAACCAGTTGTGAAGGAACTGAAAAGGTTTTATTTTATTTTAGGGCTTAGAGGCCTGAATTGCAACAACTCCAGCAGCCACCTTAGCCAATGCCAGCACAGCTTCCTTTTCCCAGAGGCCACCAGGCGGAAGGTGGGCCTTGCCTCCTGACATTAATCTTTTCTTAAGGGGATGAGAGGAGAAATATCAGTCTGTGGGTTCACTTGCAATAATATGATAGTTAAATTGGTTTACTGATTAAATGGTTAATATTATTATCTCAATTATAATTATTATATAATTAGGTAATTAGTATTTTATATATCTTTAAGCTCTTACTGTAGTATTAAGTTTTGTAGAACTATTTGGCTTTCTACTAAATTTTGGTGTCACCATAGTGATTAGAATTTAAGAAGCAAAATATAGGAGACACCCCCCCCCGAAAAAAGTGCTTTATATTTTAGTTGAATATAATATTATTTGATATCTTCTATGCAATATTGTTTTCTTCTGCTTTTGTAAATGCTGAAACCTTAATTTTTACATATATTTTATGTGTACATTGCACAGCCTTTATTGTGATATCATCAAAAGTTCTTGTTATATTTTTAAAATGTAATTTTTTCCTGTGCATTTTTCTTTTCTGTATCTTTAATATTTCTGAAAAACAAAACTTTTAATACAAACATTAATCCTTTCTTAACTTTATCATTCTGCATAACTCTTTACCACAGTAACAACCACCTCCAGGAACTCCAGAGCCGTCACAGCGCTGCAGATAGGGCTTACACATACACATACAGCTTCCCTAGCGCAGTGCCCAGTTTAAACAACGCTAGCCTATAAACATGAAAAAGCCTAATGGGTCTTTAAAGGTCAGAAAGGAGAGACTGCTCCATATACTGACTGCCTGCAATAAAGCTTGTTATACTCACCCCCTCCTACCTGTAAGCTCTAACAACTCTAAAGTCAGAAAGGAGAATAAGCGATGCCTGAAGCACACCCTGAAGAGGCCATTGTAGAAAAACTGCTTTCACGCCGGTTTGTTCTTGCTTTCTGCATAAAACCCAGCTGCTGTACAGATCTACAAGCAGCTTCCATAGTACTACCTTGATGCAGAGCAGTGTGAGCAGGCTTCCAAAGTACTTACCGTGATTCGGCGGGGGACACAGAACTCCTCACAGGATCATTCCTGCGGGGACAACAGACGGGCCGCACCATGCCATCGCCAGGAAGTAACACCGGGCAACGCTCTGGCAATGGGGCTGGAAACTCGATGGTACCATCGAGTTTTCAGTCCCATTGCCAGAGCGTCGCCCAGCGTCACTTCCTGGCGACGGCATGGTGCATTACAGGGAGGAATGGTCCGGCCAGGGAGCATGTTTCCCCTGCCGGATCACGGTAAGTACTTGGGAACCCTAAGTGTGAGGTAGGCTAGGGAGGTCAGAAGAGACTGGCTGCTATTCCCAGTCTCTCTCAGGTATTCTGAAAAGCACCACAGAGGGGAGAAGGACTGTAGAAAGGCAACAGGTAGGAGAGGAAATGGAGGAAAAGAGGCAGTAGAGGCACACAAGCAGAAAAATGCCTGCTCTGCAGAGCTTCTGTCTCTTCTTGGCAGATAGATCCTAGCAGCTCTTTTAACAGGACAGTTACCATCTCTACCAGTACCTACTTGGACAGCAAAGACCCGGCTCACTTCCAGCAGAATGCTTCCCTGTCAAAGCATACCTAAAGAAGCGGCCGGAAAAGGGCTAAGGCATGATTACAGCCGGCCCACGGAAAGGTTAAGCAGGAGGTCTTAAATCGGCAGAGCACCCAGAGGCTTCTGGGGTCATGTCTCAAACCTGATGCTGACTTTTTCAACACTACACGGAGAGGGTCAACAATCCTAACACCTAGCAGGCCTGTTGCCATGATTTCGTGCCACACTACACAAACGGTCTGTTAAATCTGTATGACAGTCAGCTGCAGTCAGTGCAAGGCTTATTCCTTTTTTTGTCCTGTTGGTCCCTACAGATTCCCAAAAAGGATTTGAGACACTGCAATTAAACTGGATTTCGCTTATACCTTCAGATCCCAAAATGAAATGGTGGATATCGGGTCCGGTGGACATTCGCGGTCCTTGACAGCTTTTTTCTATTACGCCTCTTGGGGTTACCATTTTTATATGAACTACCTGTTTAATACATAAGGTACAATTAAGATTATATATATAAAAGAATATACAAAATCATGCAAAGGGTGTCAGTCCCGGAAGCATCTTAATCAATATCAGGTTTGTCATCACTGTTCCATGTGAAACCCACTGTGCATGAAGCAGCCAGCACTAAACTTGCCTATGGGATAAGAAGGAAAGATTTGAAACATTATGCTGGGGTGTAGCCAATCAACCCCAAAGCAGCCTTCCCCCAAACTTAGGAGCCAGTTTGGCATAGTGGTTAGGAGCGCAGACTCTAATCTGGGAGAACCGGGCTTGATTCCCCATGCCTCCACATGCAGCTGCTGGTGTGACCTTGGGTCAGTTACAAGTTCTTTCAGAGCTGTTCTCTCAAGAGCAGTCCCTGAATAACTTCTCTCAGCCCCAACTACCTCACATGGTGTCTGTTGTGGTAAGGGGAAGGGAAAGGAGACTGTAAGCCACTCTGAGACTCCTTCAGATAGTGAAGGGTAGGGTATAAATCCAATCTCCTCTTCTTCTAAGTTGGCAGAAAAGCCACTCAAGTAGAAGGATGGCTCCTTAGTAAGGTTGCCAGGTCCCCCCTGGCCACCGGTGGGGGATGGTGGAGGGTTGGGAAACTCCTGGAGATTTGGGGGTGGCACTTGGGGAGGACAGGGACCTCCATGGGATACAATGCCATACAGTCCACCTTAGAGAACATCAATTTTCTCCAGGAGAACTGATCTCTGTAGTCTGGAGATGAGCTGTAATTCCAGAGGATCTCCAGGTCCAACCTGGAGGATGGCATCCCTACTCCTTAGGTTGAAGGACGGCTTCAAATTTTGCACAATGAAGTAGGAGGATAAGGACAGGATCCACTCTGTTGCCTCCTGTTCCCAAAAAGGAGAAAGGGTAGGCAAAGGGAAGACGGGAAGAAACTCTTTTAGGCTAGGCCCTCATATTCTCCTTTTGCTTGTGCAGTGCATTCCTCAGGCACTAGCACTTCCCATTCACGCAAGACTGACTTCTTGCAAGAGCGTAGCAGCCTCACTCAACAGAAGTCCGCTTTTACAAAGGAGTCCAGAAAGGAAAGGGAAAGGAAGGTACAGGATCTAAGCCAAAATGTTTTTATTCAATCATTAACTAATTATCTTTCTCATAATTCTACCCAGAAGGCCATCTGGGTCACAACATCTAAGCTCAAGCTGTAATCTTCGAAGTATTATTTCAAACACGGTCATCTCAGCTGCTTTGAGAAACACTATGTCTCACATTACTGATGTAGCATCAGCAACAAAAAGACTAAAACCAGGATCAAAACACAGATAATGGTAGAATGAGTGCATTTGCATGAAAAACTGGGTAGGGAGGGGAAGAAGAGGAAGAACATGTTTACCAGGTCTTCAATATTTCCATAAACGTTCTTCTTCATGCCCGATGCTCGCGTTGCCACCCATCCGCCAAGAGTACTAAACTCCATGGAATCTGGTTCATGGCCTGTACAGTAGCCACTTTCACCCAGCTAAAGGAAAAAACAATCTATTATTTGTAAGAGAGAGAGTTCAAATTCCACTGCAGAATTGTTTTGTGAACGCAGGGGGGTTTCCCCCCAGAAACTGAAGGGAAGTCTTAGATCAACATCATTTAAATTTGATTAAGCCTGGGTTTCCCAATGACTGGCTGACATTCATTTCAGCTTGCCCTTCACCCACTGACAGAGGAGCGCGGGCACAATACACAGCACGCCATCCATTCTTCATCCATTTCCACTCTTATGGGAATATTTTGGGTAATGCAAAACCCCTACTGTGGCCTGTACGTTTGGCAAAACCCATATTGTACTATGTGCACAACTACAAAGTTGGCACAAACCAAAAAAAAACCCGGCAAGAATTTACTTGAAGTGAACCAGGCCTATGCCTTGGCAGCATGCATTAAAAACATAGCTGTAAATTGTTGCCTTATTCATCCTTCCACTTCCAAAACCTTCAATTCAACGCTTTATTAAATGCTGTAAGGCGTGTTCCACAGGGCACAATGTTTAGCTAGAAGACTGCAACTAAATTTCCATAGCAAACAATAAAGGAAGTATTCATTTATGATTCTGTTAACATGATCTGCAGCTGGCTCACAGAAATCCTGAACAGATCCTACATTATTCTCTCTAGAAGAGCTCTCTTTTTAATATACAACCATCTGGCTGGGATTTCGGGACGCAATACCAATGGGTATTTGCTATGCAGATCAAGAATTCCTACACGTTTTGTCGCTGGTTTTTCTTTATTAGTTTTGCTTTTGCCATCTGCACTGCCTCAACGGTTGAATGAAATGCCTTTGTATGGCGACACACCCCCCCCAACTCCAGTTCTAATGAAAGCATTTCACAAACCAGTCCTGCGCTGATCACATGAGCAGCACACACTCAAGAAACCTTGAAAGTGTGGAACAGCTCTAGAATTCTTGGCACAACATCCACTGCAAAAATAATGGATCACAACTAGAATTTCTGCAGGCACGAGAAGGCAATTTTCACCAACTCCCCCCCCCCAGCACAAAATGCCCCGTGAAATGCTGCTGCTGGGGGATAGTGCCCCCCCCCCGAGTAGGCTGGGAAGGAATCGGAGGTCTCCAATGAAAGGAAGAAATCAAGCCCTCCGCCCGTTTCTGCAAAAGTTCTAGGCAGGATCCAGAGGATTGCTAGTGGAGTGGAGATGCAGATTCCGCCTCCCTGCTGCAGCCCACAGCTCCCCTCTGAAAAGCTGCTCCTGAGAACTGGGGAGACCCCTGGAAATGGCACAGGGTGCAACCAGAAGGAGGAAGCTACAGAAGTCACCCCACGTGAGCTGGCCTCAAATGGAATGGGAACTCTTGCAGTGAATCAATACTTCCCACCAATTCCCAATCCCATGCTATGGTCCAGTCACCATTATTGGTATTTCAGTGGTACAGGAGGGGTTGGTTATCCCACAACCTAAAGATTTATATGACAGTACAACAAGCCTAGGTTCCCCTGTACACGGTACCAAGCCATGGTTTACTCCAGCCATAATTTAGCACCCAAGTCACAGACTAGGCTTCCAAACATACAGGCCAGGGCTATTTTTGGGCAGGAACGCACAGGAACGGAGTTCCGGCTGGCTTCCTAGTTGGCCACACCCAGCAGGAACTCATTAGCATAATAGGCCACACCCAACATCAGAAACTCATTAGGATTGGCTACATTAGGGGTGTGTGGCCTAACATGCAAAGGAGTTCCTTCTACAAAAAAAGCTCTGGGTTTTGACAACAAGGTAAACAGAATAAGAAACAAAAGGTGGGTGTGGCTGGATGACCACACTTCTGGTAACATGGGGGTATGGCCTAATATGCTAATGTGCTGTGCTGTCAAGGGTGTGGCCTAATATGCTAACGAGTGTCTGCTGTTGGGTGCGGCCTATTATGCTAATGAGTTCCTGCTGGGTTTTTTCTACAAAAAGAGCCCTGATACAGGCCATATTCACTATCAGTGACAGACCCATGGTCTTATGGGAAAGTGCCTTTCACTATTCTCAGGCTCACATTATCCCTCCTCCTTTCCCTCCTCATGCCCAACTCCAAATTAAATCGTGTAAACGTAAATCATGTAAATTTCCAGAGTGTCAACGCAATCACAGGAAAACCACATTTGCAGCTTCTTGCTTGCACCTGCCTTCCATCTGCTCCATAACTTCTGGGGGCAAAGAGACAGCATCTGACATGAGACAACACAGAAGTACCATGCAATATGGGTAGTCCTCAGTGTTCTTGCTTCACACATTATGGAAATCCGTGTGGATCCTTTAACCACCAAGAAGCCATTTTCAACTGGGAAAAATATGTCAATGTATGGACTGCAGCAAACATAATGCACCACTATCATGAAATAAAAGTATGAGGCTTATCTGTATTATGAAACCTCAAATTACTTTTAAAATCCAGTAATATCTAGAAGGATCTGGGGCACACGTGCCACTGCAGATCAATGGGATCAGGCTGCAAATCCTCCCAGCACACAAGCTCTTACGAGCATGATCAAGACTGCCGCAATAGCCTACGATGCCAAACGTTTTCTACTCGACATTTCAAGCACGGCTGGGAGCCTTCTATGTCTTTCACAGATTTTAATAAGGTACTTCAGCAATACCTATGCAGGGCTCTTTTTGTAGAAAAAGCCCAGCAGGAACTCATTAGCATAACAGGCCACACCCAACAGCAGGAACTCATTAGCATATTGGGCCACACCCCTGGCAGCACGGTTCATTAGCATATTAGGCCACACCCACATGTTACCAGAAGTGTGGTTATCCAGCCACACCCACCTTTTGCTTGTTATTCTGTTTACCTTGTTTGTTGTCAAAACCCAGGGCCTTTTTTTTTAGCAGCAACTCCTTTGCATGTTAGGCCACACACCCCTAATGTAGCCAATCCTAATGAGTTTCTGCTGTTGGGTGTGGCCTATTATGCTAATGAGTTCCTGCTGGGCATGGCCAACTTGGAAGCCAGCCGGAACTCCGTTCCTGTGTGTTCCTGCCCAAAAATAGCCCTGCCTATTAGCATGCGATTAGAGTTAACTAATAGGTTGAGCGGCTTACTACAGTGGTGTGAGCTACATATTCTAGAACCATTCTGTAAGTTTGAAAAAAAATGTAACAAGCCCCCAGATTTGGTGATCACTGACCAAAATGATACAGAACGAGTGGAAGAAACCCAATTACTGAAACGTAAATTCAAAATTGATTTCTGATGGAAGGGAAGCTCTGAAGGGGGGAAAAGCATGATAGAAGTTTTATGTTTTAGTTTTAAAGAAAGAAGCTGCGGCAAAAAGTGCTATTATGCCATATTCTAGTGGGACAAAAGACTGCGTGGCATTTCAAGAATGGAGAAGTCGGTGAAATATCAGAAGTTACTAACCTAGAAAAATGTCACTTAAATTAAGGGAATATTCTCTGTGCATTTTAATTCTAACCTTTAAAAAAAACCCACAGCTCTGGAAAGGTTAAAATACTACATCAAATGATAAAAAGACATAAAAACAAGAAATATGAAAGGCCATCTCATCAGAAATTGCTGTGTTAGTAGTTTAAAAAAAATAATTTCTTTGGAAAAGGCTACAGAACCCCCTAAAAACCAGGCTGTTCTTTCTCTGGGAAGTCCATTACAAAACACTGCAAGTATTTTTAAAAAGGTGTATGACTTAATAATGACTTTTAGCCACCTCTGTAGAAGCAGTTAAATCTGTGCCAAATCCAAACTCATTCTATTCCGTTTCAAAAGTTAAAAGTTCTCTTGCAGGGCAGCATGAACACATTTACCAATGGTTACCTGTGTAACACTGAATATGTGCATAGGAGCCCATTTCATAAAGGCAAAAATATGATCAAAGAATAACGGAGTCACAGGCTAAGTTAAGTCTTAGCTAGAGGGAAGGTAATTTTTTTAAACAAAACTTAAAATAGTAAAAAAAAATTAAGACCCTAGAATTATTTGAATAACTTTTTAAAAATCAGCACTTTGAAGTGTGTGTGTGTGTTTTTTTAAATAGTTGGATAGAAGTTACTGATCATAGCACACGATCCAAGTGTAATTTTGAAATCTGTTTTCCTTAAATGAGTTGCAAGGTTATGCTTGACCTGCTATTAAGTATAATTCCCATCTGCAAACCTATCTTGAGCATCTAGCTTGTAAACAGATTCTTAACCTGGGTCAACGGCTAATCCCAGTTTTCGCAATACATTTTTGTGTGTTAGAACACAGTTAGTCATGACAGAGGCAGACTTAATCATCACCAGGGCTATTTTTGGGGCAGGAACACACAGGAACGGAGTTCCGGCTGGCTCCCAAGTTGGCCACGCCCAGCAGGAACTCATTACCATATTAGGCCACACCCAACAGCAGAAACGCATTAGAATTGACTACATTAGGGTTGTGTGGCCTAACATGCAAAGGAGTTGCTGCTACAAAAAAAGCCCTGGGTTTTGACCACAAACAAGGTCAACAGAATAAGAAGCAAAAGGTGGGTGTGGCTGGATGACCACACTTCTGGTAACATGGGTGTGTGGCCTCATATGCGAATGAGCTGTGCTGTCAGGGCTGTGGTCTAATATGCTAATGGGTTTCTGCTGTTGGGTGTGGCCTATTATGCTAATGAGTTCCTGTTGGGCTTTTTCTACAAAAAAAGCCCTGATCGTCATCATCAGCTACCTTTATTGGCATCACTGCAGACTTAATCCTGGAAAGGTGAAGCCACGCGGGAGAGCACCTGGGGACTCTTTCAGCACAACAGGACAAATAACAGGGTAGCGCCCCCCCCCCGGAATAGGACAATCCTGTCTTCCCCTTACTTCCCACTGACACCTCTGAAATTCTCCGGAGAGTCAAAGGGACCCCTCAAGAACAGTGTGTATGCATACGGAGGTATGCAGCAAGAGGGAGATTATTAGCAAAAACTGCTTCCCCCTCCCCGTTTGCCAAGAGAAGGACCACTTTGCTGCACCTCTGGATCAAACCCAGAGTAACGAGGACCAAGCTCCACTCAACTAAACAGAATCCTGGCCAGTAATGGCTAATTTACTGTAATCGGGTTCCGAAAATCTAGCCAGGGCTCAACCTTAGAAGTGACATTTTAAAATAATTTGTGACTGAGTGTCAAACTCTTAGCCAAACGGGTGCCGTTTGAGAGTTTACCACACTACCTGACTGAGGTACTACGGGAAGCAAAGTTGTTGTGCAGTACCTGTTTAAACTGATAATCACGACCACTTCCAAACTTAAGATGTATGGAAGAAATGACAATCTCTTCTCTTTCTGTATGAAAGAATATTATGCCTAAAAACTATGCCAAAGATGTGGGAGCTGTCAAGGCAGTCAGGATTCTTGGCATCATCTATGCCTCTTTTGAGAGCAGGGATATAAACCCTTCCTCAATTGTGTTTTTTGGTACATTTTTGAAAAGACTCAAAACAACAAGTTTTGTTTTCTACACACCAGGAGACTTCTATTTTAGGAACACAGAGAAGTACTGCTTCATTTGCCCGGGTGAGGGCAGACTTTTCCCAGTTGGCAGGGCCAAAGTCTGCTGCGTAGACAGCACCGTAGCATGGAACTTCTCTAGAAGGAAAGCCTACGTCCACCGTACAACTTCTAGCAATGTGACCCTAAGAACAACTATGCCCTTTAAGTCCACTGATGTCAATGGACTTAGAAGGGCACGACAATGATTAGCATTGCACTGCAGTAATGCATCATATGGACTTTGCTATTGTGGCTTTGCTCTCTCCACATTGCAGCCTTAGTTCTTTCAAACTGGTTTAGCAAAATTTTTAAAGGCATGGGTGAGGTAGGAAGACCAAGGAGTGCAGCTCTGCCTCACTCACACAGCATGCTGCCTTAAGCAGCTGTTGAACAAACAGAGACACCATCTAAAACTGGCTAGATCTGGTCATTTGACCCCTTTTCCCCCAGTTCACCGAAAGGTTTTACATCAAAAACGGCAACACCACTTCTTTTATCATTCAGAACTATGAGAAAATGTGCTAGATAAATGCAGAGCTGTTATGTTTTGACAGGTGCTCCCATCAAACCAAAAAAATTGGGAAGGTTCAGGGGTTTTTTTGGCCAGTTATAGCTGCAGACTGGCTTTGTCTCGTACACAGACTTCTAAATGTTCCCTTGAACTATTTAAACATCAGAAAGTTTGGGAGCTGGAAAAGCTGCCCAGAACCTCAGGAGACAGGTGGATGTTCATTAAGGAGTATGTGTAGAACAAGGACATCACAAATGAAAGAGGATGTCTGCAGTGTGAGAAGTTGCAAAGGGGGGATTCACGATAGAACAAGAAATTCAAGATACCCGTCTTTCTAAGTCTTGTCCAACAATGCCGGCTTCAACACGAGCAGTTAAATTTTTCTCATCTATCCAATGAATTCGATTCTGTTGCAAGGAAACAAAAGAGGGACTCAGTTTTTTAAAAAGTCAGTTTGCTTTTTTGCTCTCCAACAAAAGCAGCAGTGTTTAGCTAGTTGTGTCACTGAAGCAGGGAAGATGGAAATAAATAGAAGCATACCCTCTCCCTCCTATAGGCTCTGCCTTGTTATACTGAAGCTATTAAATGCTGAAACCTAACTTGTGACCCAACTGTCTGCCAACCTGTAGCAAAAATGACAGCTGAGAATTCAGGCCCACAGAATTACACGTGAATTAAAAGAACCCATCTAAATGTCAGTCTGCTAAAAAGACTTTAAAAAGGCAAGACTGCTGACTCTTTATACAGTATTTCTCAAGACATATCTACCTTTCGAAAGCTGAAAAGTATGAGAAAAATGTCTAACTTGTTGCGATAATCCCGAATCCATAGTGGATATTAAAAAATTAGGAGAGAGTATTTCCTTGCTAATAGTCAGGCTACATAGCCAGAAATTGTGACAAGATACAAGTGACTACTTTAAAATTGATCTTTAAGTCATCTAATTTATACCCCAAAGCTCATTTGCGAAACTGAAAGGAAACTGCATTAGAAACTGAACTCAGGCAGGTCTGGCCAGCAGCTATTCTCTGCTAGAAAGTGTTTTTCCCCCCTACCATTTGTGAAGTGTCCAGTGACACAATAGTTCGTTTCTCATCAGGAGGACACTCAAGCGCACTAGAAACACTTGTTCCACCTGCAAGCAGAGGAAATACAGAAAATCACTTTTAATTCATTCACTTAAGTGGTTGATGTTTTAGCTAAAGGAGAAGAGAACTCAAAAAGAAGAAGAAAAGAAGAAGAGATTGGATTTATACCCCGCCCTTCACTACCCAAAGGTGTCTCAGAGCGGCTTACAAACTCCTTTCCCTTCCCTCCCCACAACAGACACCCTGTGAGGTGGGTGGGGCTGAGAGAACACTGACACAAACTGCTTTTTTTCAAGGACAGCTGTGCCAGAGCTTGAGACTGACCCAAGGTCACATCAGCAGGTGCAAGTGGAAGAGTGGGGAATCAACCCCCGTTCTCCCAGATTAGAGTCCGCACACTTAACCACTACACCAAACTGGCAGCACTTTCAGATACTTCCCTTTAAGAGGTGACTTGTAAACTGACCAGGCATCCAAGGAGACTGGACCTGCTCCCTGAGCGATAAAGGTGTGTCCACCCATACATATGCATGGTTGGCCCTACGTATGGCCCACTCAAAGCAATTGTCTAAAACAAGCAGCCCCTCAACCAGGACTTCACAATGTGAAAACTGAAAGGCAAGTCAACTGCTTTCTATATGCAACAGAAATGCTTGTCTAATTACTGCCTTATACCCAGAAAGCCAGACACTATTAGTACGTGTTGAAGGGGCATTATGGGATGAGGACAAGAGAAAGAGCAGAATAGTACTATCGTACAAAGATAAGTTTTGGCAAGTTCATCACAGTGATGGTCCTTCTAGTGTGGCTTCTTTTCCCCTCCTTGGAAAGTAGCAAGAGCTGCAACCGTGGGACAGTTAGGTTATATGGAATTTCTTCAGTCAGAGAACTAAACTGGGGTTGTGAAATGTAGATGTACTAAACCATTCAAACTTGACGCCTGTGCTTTGCCAGTGTTCAGTTTCTCTCAAGTTTGTCAAGCTATTCTCTGAAGGCACAAAGAATTCATGCTCGTTAAATGCCTCCAGCAGATCTGCGCAAGCCAACTTGCCAAGATTTAAAATATGCAAAACAAGTGCATAGCTTTCTTTAGTGGCCAAGGAAGCAAAGAAAGCTGAGCCTCACTAGAAACAAGGTTTCAACCAGCAGCACAACATGCACTGTACTTACTTCATATTGTTATTACAGCCAAAAAGAAACAGCAGAGCCTAACCCTAACCCACATAAGAACCTAAAACAAGTTCATGTAACTTAATGACAGCTGTCAGAAATTTCGCCGCACAAAAAGTACTTTATCTCTGAGTGGCCAAGATGATTTCATTCCTGGAGACAGTTCTGATTAAGTAATGGTGAAACCTGTTCAGCTCTTAATTCTGAGAATTTAGGACAGTTAAAAAAAGATGTGGTCCACAGAATCAATTTAGTGGTTGCCACAGCTGCAGAGTCTTCCTAGCATCACTGCTGAGGGGGTAGGGCAGCGCAACATGTGCTGGTCGCCTCTTCCAGCTGCCCACCCCCCCTCCAGTCCAAAAGTGGTTCCACCTGGCACTGCGTCGGCGATGGCTTTTAAAAAACTTATTATTCCTGAGTTAGAGTATACCGCAGTCATTTCCTGCTGGCATTAGCTTTATGATCGCTCTCTCCTAAATGGTTCTGTGAAGGGTTTTTATTCACTGGATTTATTTTGCTTTTCGGAACTAGAGCCCATAGAATTATGGTTAAGAAAGATCCCTGATCTTATTTACTTCAATAGATACTGCACCCCCCCCCCACCATGTGGACCCAAAGCAATCTACTTCACTCTCCTTCTTTCCCATTTTATCCTCACAACAACGCTGTGAGGCAGGTTAGGCCAAAGAGTGTGAGTGATTTGGTTTTGGAATCAGAGGGGGCTTTCCAAAAAGCAGAGTACAATGCAGCACATGCCTCTGCTGCTCAAAGCCAAAAATCTCACTAGGCCCTTGGGGACACCCGAAGTAGCTGTATGGATCCCAACCAATGCAAATTAGGCAACAGTTCTTACACAGTGGTTCAATGTTCATATTACTTACCACCAAAAGGTATAACACAAACATTATGCTTGCAGGCTAATCCAACAATTTTAACTACGTCATCATGGCACTCTGTATCAAAAAGGGAGAAAGAAAAATGTATTTTAGGGGGTTTTATAGCTGGTTTTCTAGGAATGCATTAAAAAGCAACAGTAATGAACCTACACACCTTGAATTATAAGAAGTTTTTGAAAAACCCTAAACTGTATGTAGATTTATAGCACCGAATTTTAACTATTCATATTATTGCTTTATTGTTTTTATGTTTTATATTGTTGTTAGCCGCCCTGAGCCACTGGGTAGGGCGGTATAGAAATCCCAAAAATAAATAAATAAATAAATAGGCTTGGCTTCAGCATGAAGTCAGAGGCCATCATTGTATTACAGTAAGCAAAAAGGGAAAACTGAAATGTTCCCTCACTGTTTTTAACAGAACAAAGATATACCGGGTGGGAAGAGGAATTCCCCTCCCCCTTAAAAGGATATTAGAATTTGGAGGGAAATGGAACTTTATGCAATACTTTCTTAGTTCTAAAACGTAAACTTTAAGAAACCAAGCTTCAGCCTGCTTCATCCGGCTGCATGATGCCATCAGTTATGTCCCATATCAGAGACTGAGTTTCATATGTAAGTTGGTAAATACTACTGAAATCAACATTTTTGTATACAAGAAGGCTGGCTGGTTCAGAAATGACACTAATGCTCAGCATCATCAAGCAAACCAGAAGTGGTGCATGGTTTGAGAGAAAGTGCTCAGAAAATTAATAACCCCATAGTTAACAGATCACAATAGTAAAGGATTAGGAACCAACAGTAACAATGAAGCTAGACTGTGCCAATATAATGATATTTAAATAGTAATATAATACATTTTTCTTGAAAATGGTCTGTTTCAGAAATAGAAAGCATGCACTGAAAGATCTATTTGGAAAGTATTGACCAAAAAACCTTTTGTCTTGATTTTTACCATATTTGAAAAAACTGAAGATCTGAACATACTGAAGCAAGTCAACTTTGCTCATGTCTGCTTGCTTCTCGGCTGCGTATGTGCATTTGCATAAGCTGGTGAATCTCTTTCACATGACAATGGAGAAAACTGAGGCAGGGGAACAATCAGAGGCCTTGTTGAGGGAACAATGGGGCCAGTGGATTAACACACAGCACGTGCCTGCAACAAATACCAGAATACATTTTGTATCTGGCAAGATCTGGAAGTGTTTTTCAAAGCTGACTCTTTCACTGTTTCTAATTTCACAACACTGAACCTCCTCTGAAGAATGAGAAGAATATTCTGAAGTGCTTACCTGGCCATGCAACTATATCAGGAACGCGCTTAAACATCCCTTCCCTGAGTAAAAACAGCTCATGTAGGCAATGACCTGAAAGAGCAATCATTGGAAAAGTTATTCATTCGCTTTTTAAAAAAGTTAAAAACATACAGCTGTGTATGGATGCTCGCTTACCATGAGCTCTGAATACCCTGTCTTCTGCATCTTGGGAATACGAGATGTTCGTAGCTTTGAGGTCCTGAAGGAATCCTTCATTTGTAACAGACGGAGGTACATCGCTAGTATTTAAGGATGCCTTCGATATTAAGAAACAAGATTCAACGTACAGACCATTAATTATTATTTTTCTCAACAGGGACACACAGGGTTGGAATCAAACTAATATTTTTGCAGATATAAGAAGTGAAAATGCCCCCCCCCACCAAGAGCAACCTCAAATACCCCTCAAAATCCTGTTTCTGGGAAGGTCCCTGTGATGAATGGGCGAAGGTCCTACCCCTTCACCAATCCCTTTCATGGTGTGTGAGCAGAACAGCTATGGTAGCAGCTAATCAGCACCCCTGGGAGGGCTGGAGGAATCAGATGATATGAGAGAGCGAGAGAGGAAAAGCTGTTTGACTGTCAGCTCAGACCAGAGAGGGTCTGAACCTTCAGAGACAGACAGACTGGAGGGGTCCTTTCTCAGAGTTTGCCTTGTGTATAATCAGGGTAAAACAGTGGAGACAGGGTTTGTGTTGCCAAAGTTCTAGTTGGGAGAGAACCTGTTTCAGGAGACTTTGGAAGTCTCAAAACTTGTTTTTGGTGACAAAGCAAGCTAGCTTTGAGGAAGAGACTGTAGATGTCTTAAAGCCCGAATTTCTGAGGGAAACCAGTGAAACATTTGTGGTTTCTGAGAGCAGCTCACATTTACACTCTGAGAATCCCGAGGGCAAGGGAAGGCCAGTATTCTCTTCAAGAAAACAAAGTTGGCTGTTAACTGCTTTCTGCTACACTAAATAATCAACTGTTACACCTGTAAATGGTTTCTGTCCTTTATTCTGAACCACCTTATTCCCCTAACCTTGGAATAAAAGTTACTATTCTTTTTTCTGTTTCCCCTCATGGGTGCTGAATTCATTTTATTCAGAAACCACTTGGGTTAAATCTGTCAGGTGGAGGACTGGGGTAGGGATCACACTGGTTGAGCTTTACATCATACTTTGTTGTTCAGTCGCACAGTCAAGTTCAACTCTTCACGATCCCATGGACCACATCACGCCAGGCCCTCCTGTCTTCCGTCGTGCTCCAGAGTTTGCTTAATTTCATGTCCGTTGCCTCGATAACACTGTCTAACTATCTCATCCTTTGCCGTTCCCTTCTTTGACCTTCAATCTTTCCCAGCATCAGGGTCTTCTCCAGTGAGTGCTCCCTTCTCATTTGGTGGAAAAAGTATTTGAGCTTCAGCATCTGGCCTTCCAGGGAACTGTCAGGGTTTATTTCTCTGTTTAAAAGCCACATTTAAGACCCTGAGCTTCACAGTCCCCTTTCCCCCAAGAAAAGGATGGGGGCGGTTCAGGCTGTCACAGTCAGAGGGAAATCGTACACTGTGGATAGAAATCCTTGCATCTGCAGAAGTTAGGTAAAGGTTTCCCTTGCTCATCTCCATTTCCAAGCCGAAGAGCCAGTGCTGTCCAAAGACGTTTCTGTGGTCATGTGGCTGGCATGACTAAACACCGAGGCGCACAGAACGTTGTTACCTTCCCACCGAAGTGGTACCTATTTATCTACTTGCAATTTCTTGCAAGTCTGGATCAAAGGCAGAATGCTTGCAATACACAATAGGGAGAATAATCTACATTCCAGTACAAGCAACGCATCTCCTGTACCACCAATTCATTCTTGGGAAGGGGGAACCCTTCTGATTAGACCAGCATTTCAGGATATACCCAACACCCAGCTAGGAACTAATGGCATGAGGCTGACCAATACAGGCATGGGGTCTTTAACTCAATAAAGTATTCTTTAATCATATAACATCCCTTTCATCATGTACAGTCAGTTGCTATCATCACTCTGTGTGTAACATCTATACTTAGTGAATGGAGATTTTTTAAATTAACCTTTACTTGTATTTATTCAAGCAGTTCTCCCAGCTATCAAAAACTCATTTACAAGCCCATTTAAAAGACTCTTCTGAGTTTATCAGATCATTCCCAAGACTTCATATTACAGATGCCTGTCTCTGTTGCCTACTGAATATAGTTGCTGCAGTAATAAACTACTAGGTTTATAGTTAGCAGCCCAAAGCAATATTTGACAATGTGCTTCATAAACATAGGCAGGTAAGCTGGTATATTATGGCTAAACAGCAGCCAAGTCATACTGGGCCAAACAGACTTCCCTGACTTCAAGTAGGAGAGGTCCCCTTTCTCCTAGATTAAAACCAGAGGTATGGCTCACTGACAACCAAGAGTTTACACTTTCCACATTAAAAATAAGGGTGCAGCCAATTTTATTTGATAGTTAAATGAAACCAAAGCTACATATGGCTTCCCGAGCAGAGCAAGGTACTTGACGGAATTTTTTTTTTATCAGGAAGTGTTCAAATCTTGTAAACAGAATCCTCACATTGTCTGTTAATTCTGCACTGCTATACAGGCTACGGCAGCCTGGAGTATTTCAGTGAAGTGGGATGGAAATGATCAGTTTTGTTTATTAATTTCTTTTATTAAAATATTTATGCCCTGCTTTTCCTCATGGTTCAAGGGCAGTTCCTTTAGTCCTGCATTCCTCAGATCAGTTCATACTTGGGATCACACTACATGCCAAGATGCAGAGAAATAAAATAACTGGAGAAAGTGGTGTCTGCCCATTTGCACTGGGCTGCTTCTCCAGAATTACCTCCTATTGGAAACAGTAAGCTCAGACAGTGACTCACGCAGAAACTCAGAAGGCAGAGTCTTTCCCAAGGGTAGCTAATCACTTCTGCAGAGCGGCTGAGATAAGAGCTCAAGCACAGCCAGTGGTCTCTGGCAAGCGGCAGAGCCCCCCACCAAGAGCTACAACCTTTTAATTGGAAGGATCTGCTGTTAGTGCAGCACAGAGAGGAAGGGTGCCCTGCCGATGTCTGCAAGGAGCAGTGAAACAGCGAGGTGATTCTTTCTTTTTTATCACAAGCAGGTTCGGACTCAGGCTCCTCCTGTTCCTGTCAGGTGACTAATGTCACATGCTCTGTGAATCTCATGCTGCCACCTGAGGGTCAGAACTGGAAAACAAGTTACAAAGGTTGATGACCACTGACTTATGTGGAGGCGCTGTGGGATTATCAATGCGTATCTTCCTTGACAAGCCCTTGGCAAGTTATTTACAATGCAATGCCGAGGACACTTTCCTGGGATTAAACCCCACTGGGTAGACTTTAGTAGGATTCTGAGTAGACCTGCTTAAAAGAGCACTGCTAGTAACTGAGTTCTCAGTTATTAATAATCCATTAAACCATTGCAGCCACTGTCTGGTATACTTTTTTAACCACATTATATTTTCACTTAAACGTTCAATGATCTCCTGCCATGTAGGAGTTGCACACGAGCAATGTTTGTGAGCAAGCACCCCTAGGTCTGTGCTATCTCACCATTTAAACTGACCGAGATCGTTGGAGGAAAAGCAGGATATAAAATGTAATAAATAGTAAACTAATGCTTTTGTGGTCTGCTATTCTATTTGCTGCTGTTGCTGCGGTCTGAGCAAGGCACACTACCTGACATTAGTTTTTCTCCGTTCATATGTATCCTTAAAGATGGTTTTGAAGATGGTTATGAGAAAGTTGCTTGTTTAAATAAAAGGAGAGTGCAGAGTATAAATATCTCCTGGTGGACTTAATTGACAAAAATGGGGAGGGGGGGGAGAATCAGTGCTTGGCATACTTAGAATACTAGAAAGCTCTGCAGGAAACCTTAGAAAGTGACTACTGGTTACCAGCCTAGAAGGGCCAACGATCCAATTTAGTACAGGTCAATTTCACATTTTCAATACAAACACAAGTTATAGAGGAGTTAAGAGCCAAGAGGAATCAAAATACATCCCCTACCCCCATCACTGCATGTATACACTTACCTTAGGAATACTTTTATGTTCCAGACTTCCTCCAAGATTTTTCTCTAGCCATTCTCTCAGAAGAGGCAACACTGTACCACCTAACCGGTACCTGAACCAAAAAATATTTTAAAATCAGTTCTTTCCAAACCCACCTCCCCAATTGTGCAAACCTGAAGTTACTTCCCACAGACAAACTGCAAATGATTTATGAAGACAAAACAAGAGAAACCATGAAATTACCGATCCTTCTGTCTGTCACTTCCAATGAAAAAGTACACACGCTTAAAATAGGAATTGTTCAGAAGAATAAGCCTCGCCACGAAAGAAATCAGCATGGCTTCACCAAGAAAAAGCCCTGCTTGGCAACTCTGTATAATAAGGACAGTTCAGGGAATTTTATGGGCTGAATCCAAAGTTTCGTTCAGCCAACAGAAGCAGAGGATAATTTTTTAACACCCCCACTACATGCCGCCCACAGTGTCCCTGTGCTCCAGGTATCACTTTTGGGAGAAACAAAGTTCTGCTCCTCTGGAAGGGCCTTCTTTGGATCCAGTCCTATATATTTTGATTTTGTTTGCTAGAGTTATTGTCACAGATTTAACATAGCAGTCCCACCATACAAATCCCCTTAAGTATTATAGTTCATTAGAAATAATGAAGCTGAAGATGGCACAATTTTCACAGTGGAGGGAAACAAACAGGGTGCCCAAGGCTCAGTATTGGGAACAGTGATGTCTTATTAATAACCCAATTAACTGTGGGGGACAGTCCATTTTCCAGAGAACAAATTGTTCAAGATAGAAAGGAGCAGAAGAGTCTCAATAGCTACCACCCACCCTTCCCACATATGAACGATCCGTTATTTGTTACCTCTTCCCTGTGAATTCTGCTTGCCCCTTCTTATTGAACATGAATTTTGAGTCACTGTATCCCCAGCCGTTCCATTTCAAAACTTCTTGCCTTAAAAGAGAAGCATAAATCATACACTCAGTTCGGTAATTGCAATACAATTAATTTAATTTTGCGATTCCAGTTTGACACATTGCCCATTTCAACAGGATATGTCGATTTATTACTATAAAACCAGCATTCAAAATCATAGCCCATGACTCAGCTACAATTATTCAGATGATCTCCAGAGGCAGCTCCAAGAAAAACAGGCCAAAGGACTGACTACTTAACAAACATTTGATCTCTGAACAGGCCATACAAACAACAACCCTTTTTATTCTCCAAAGATAACAGCAGACCCATATGACAGCCATGGAAAAACCATTTCATACATTTCTGGACAGCTGTCCTTCCTTTCACTGGCTTGCACCAAGCAGATTCTGGAGAATGCAGGATATAAATCTTTACAAATAAATTCCTATGGCAGGTAAACACAAGGATACTTGTGACAGTTGTTTCCCGCCCTATTTCTTTATCCCTTTCCTCTTTGGGACTTCCAAAATGCTAACAAAGTGTTACAAGAGGTCGCAGGAAGGGTGCTGGAAAGCACCGTCAAGTCACGGTTGACTTATGGAGACCTCACAGGGCTTTCAAGGTAAAAGACAACCAGAGGTGGTTTGCCATTGCCTGCCTCTGCCTACCAATTCTGGACTTTCTTGATGGCCTCCAATCCAAGGACTAACCATCCAAGTACTGCTTAGCTTCCGAGATCTCTCCAGCCTGGGTCAGGACATTGCAGGAATAGCACAGACAAAAAAGCAACATGGCCCCAGGGAGAGGGGGCTGTAGTGGGGGTGTAAAGGTAAAGGTTCCCTGCCTTGCTCGAAAGCCAGTCGAGTCCGACTCTAGGGTTGCGGTGCTCATCTCCGTTTCAAAGCCGAAGAGCCAGCGCTGTCCGAAGATGTTTCCGTGGTCATGTGGCCGGCATGACTAAACACCAAGGCGCACGGAACGCTGTTACCTTCCCACCGAAGTGGTACCTATTTATCTACTTGCAATTTCTTGCTTTCGAACTGCTTAGGTTGGCAGGAGCTGGAACTAGAGATAGGAGCTCACCCCATCATGCGGCACCTGGGTCTCGAACTCCTGAACTACTGACCTTCCACAGCCTACAGTTCAGCATCTTAACCACTTGAGCCACCGCTCAATCATGTAGAACAGGGCAATAGTGGCTCTCTCGTCTCTCATGCATAAGCCATCCAGCTTGCTGGAAGAGTAGTGCCTTCCTGGCTCCCTTTCTGAAGCCTGCAGGGGTATTTTTGTTCATACCAGTTCAGCAGCCTCCAGCATCAGCTCGCCAAAAATCGGGGGGGGGGGGCTGAGTGGAAAAGGGGAGAAAACTGCTGCCCTTGCACTCCGTAGGATCTCTAAGCCACTATTCCTAGAGGGCATGGCATAACTGTGGCATCTGCTTCAAGCCCTTCAGACCACATCAGTTCCGACCAACCGAGCTCAAACACAGACTGACAAGGGCAACAACAGAAGACCTACTAGTATGCAGGACTAACAGGAACATGGCCAAACACTTACTGCAGCTATAGTCAGATGTATCTGAAAAGTTTACGCATGAGGCTTTAGTCTTAGGTTCCATTCAGTCTACCCTAATACTGATTCTGTTTGCAAGCAGGCCTCGGCTTCATCAGAAGGCCAACCTAAACTTAGCTACTTCAGTGCAGCAGATCCCTCACACACAGATGAGGGAGCCAAGCCAAAGAAATCCCCCACACACACACTATTAATTTTGCTCAAGAAGGGATAGGTAAAGATAAAGGTTTCCCTTGCTCGAAAGCCAGTTGAATCCGACTCTGGGGTTGCAGTGCACATCTCCTTTTCCAAGCCAAAGAGCCAGCGCTGTCTGAAGACGTTTCCACGGTCATGTGGCCAGCATGACTAAAAGCCAAGGTGCACGGAACACTGTTACCTTCCCACCAAAGCAGTACCTATTTATCTACTTGCAATTTCTTGCTTTTGAACTGCTAGGCTGGCAGGAGCTGGAACCAGAGACAGGAGCTCACTCCGCCATGCAGCACTCGGGTCTCGAACTGCTGAACTACTAACTTTCCAGCCTGCAGTTCAGAGTCTTAACCACTTGAGCCACACCGCAGCTCCCAAGAAGGTATAGGATGCCAACAAATGCTGGAGCACAGCTAGGGATGCAAAATTTCTGGTAATTTTGAAGCCATGGGCAAAAGGTGGTGGCTTTTTAGAGGGTCAGGTGGGTGGAAGGCGGAAGATATATTTCAAATCTTTATTACTGCGTACAGTGTACTGCTGACAAGGATTTTGTAAACTGTGTTATCATACACAGTGTTCCTTTTTTTGCTTACTGATTGAACTACATGAAACGCATCATTCATAACACATTAAACATACAAACAAACTCAGCCAGCCAGTGGCGTAGTGGTTAGAAGCAGTGGATTGTAATCTGGAGAACTGGGCTTGATTCCCCACTCCTCCACATGAAGCCTGCTGGGTGACCTTGGGCCAGCCACAGTTCTCTCAGCTCTCTCTCAGCCCCACCTGCCTCACAAGGTGCCCGTTGTGGGGAGAGGTAGGAAAAGGTTATTGTAAGCTGCTTTGAGACTCCTTAAGGTAGAGAAAAGCAGGGTATAAAACCCAACTCTTCTTCTTCTAGTATTAATTTATACCTTGGCCTTTCTCACTAATGGGAGGACCCAAAACAGCTTACATTGTTCTCGTGTTCATCCTCACAAAAACCCAGCAAAACGGTTTAGTTGAGAGAATATCTGACTGGCCTAATGTCCACCAGCAAGCTTCCGAGGTTTGGGGATCTGTGCCAGAGATCAGTCCAAAACCCTAACCACTACACACACACACACACACAGGCTTGAGAAATGGTTGCAAACTGTTGCACCCCATGAGACTGCTGACTGAGCCCCACTGAAACACAGAAGATGAGGTGTTGTCACATTATCTTGCCCAGTGGGCAAATATGAAAAGTGAAAGCAATTCAAGAGTGCTGAGGTGGGGGAGATGAGGCAAGTAGAGCATCTAGGTAGCTCCACTCTGCTGTTCTGCTCAGCACCAACCAAGCGACAGGACCTATTCGGCTGCAGTTATTGCCATTATGGTCGCTGTCTCTCTTGACACGTTATAGGAAGCCCTTCAACAGAAACCAGGGCAAGAATGTCTCTCACCCCCAGTGCCATGCAGACCACAAAGACAAGACCACCAGCCGCAGGGACAAACAGACATCACCACAGGCTGAAAACTACCTTGTTCTAGCAGGGCTTCTGCAGATTTGGAGGGGGCTTAGGTTAAAGCCATACCAAAAATACATATGCCAATTTCTGTCACAACGCTGTGGAGCTTAAAAAGGCAGAAGGAGCCCAGGCAGAACAAGAAAGCAGGTAACCTCATTCACAGGACTTGCTTTCAGACCTCCATCGCTGATACTGTTCAGCAAGTCTGGGACTTGCAAAACTGCCTCGCTGAGCAAATAGGGTTTGGCAGATAGGAATCCTTCCACGTCCACTTATCATTGATCACGGCTGTTCTCAGAACAGGGCTCACTGGAGGTGGAATTCAGAGGATCCTCAGCCACTTCTGCTCCAGCGAGCAGGCAGGAACAGGTTGTAAAGGGTACTCCCGATCAGGTGTTATGATAAACCACAGAACCAGGCTGTATGACATGAGATGGAGATGAATATTAAAGGAACTGGGACATTAAGCAATAGGCAAAGATAGTAAACCTAATGAGGATGGTTCACGGTACAGCCAAATGGGGTTAGGGGAAATTACGGGCAGCCAATCCACAACACGGTGTATATAACTCATTGGCACTGGCTGGCTCTTACAACACACACTTACAAGGAATTGCTGGGGGTGGGGCTGCTCCCAACCCTCTTTGGCAAAGGCCTTTTCAGCCGTTCAGTCCTGGTATTTGCGGCTGGTTTCATCAGGGCCAAGGAGGAATCTCTCTTACACAAATCCCCTCAATTAGGCTGTTTCTGTGTGGCCCTAAGGCTGTGTAATTAGAAACTGCTCTGCAGAACATAAAATGGGAGTTCTTGCCCTCCCCCTCCCCCCCCCACTTTGCTACTGGCAAAAGGTGCAAAGGTGAGCTTTGCCTCAGTTTTAAGACAGACCTTTCCATCTCTAAACATATTCCAGTGTTTAGAGATGGAAAGCAAAGACTAGCCATGCTGGATCAGGGTCCAGCACCTTGTTTTCAGCAGTGACAATCAGGTGCCGTAGAGAAACCCACAAATATCCCTTACCTGACGACTGCTCCCTATTTATCAGAAACATTCTGCCTCTGAACCTTCATCTATCGTCCCTAATAGACAACCATAGACCTAAATTGTGTGAAAACACCCAACCCTTTTTACATCCATCTAAGCCTGTGGCAATGACTGTGTCTTGTGGCAATCCTTTTCCCCCAGTAAACTATTGGGGAGATGACAAGGGTTAACCTTTGTTAACGCACAACTCTTGCACGCCCTTATTTCTTATCCTAGTGCCTTCATCCCCAAGGTTAGATTCACAGGGCAGCTGTGTTGGTCTGCAAGAGAACAGCTGGATTCAAGTCCAGTAGGACTTTAGAGACCAACAAGATTTTCAGGGTAGAAGTTTCTGAGAGTCAAATCTCCCTTCATCAGATACCTGTTTGACTCTCGAAAGCTTATACCCCAGAAATCTTGGTCTCTAATGTGCCACTGGTCTTGAATCTAACTAACCCCCAAGGCTGCATGCTTTTTCCTGGAGCCCCCCCCCCAAGTCAGTTGTAGAGATGACTGGGTGAGATGACTGACCTGCCCATCCATCTAGGTCTTCTTGTCAAAGAAGCCAGTTTGGTGTAGTGGTTAAGTGTGCGGACTCTAATCTGGGAGAACCGGGTTCGAATCCCCACTCCTCCACTCGCAGCTGCTGGATGACCTTGGGCAGGGGTCATTTCGTAGAAAAAGAGGTGCAGAAGCTCATTAGAATAGCTCATTAGCATAACTCATTAGCATATGCCACACCCCCTGACATCACCGGAAGTATGT